GCAGGCGGCAGAGAGGCGTTTGGGAAGCGTTTTTACCGCTTCCCAAACGCCTCTGCCAATTCTGCAAATTACAGCACATGGTGCTGTTCTAACGGGAGAGTTTGCGTTGCGGCAAAACAGGAGCCTCTGGTCGAGTCAGGAGGTGATGAAGCCTCCTATTCTAGTCTATGGTGCCGCTCCGCAAACGCCCGGCCAGCGTGTGCGGTTGCGGGGCGGTAACACCATTCAAACTGCATTATAGGCGTTTGTGGGGCCTTTTTAAAGCTTGGCAAACGCCTAGCAACTTCCGCTAAACCGCGCATGCGGCGTTTGCAGAGCGTTTGCTGAGCATTAAAAAAACGCTCCGCAAACGCTGGACCAACGCTTGCCAAACGCTATAGGGGCGCTTGGCAAGCGTTGGTAAAACAGCCAAGTGTGAACGAGCCCTAAGAAGAGCTGCCTCAGTGTTACTGCTCCCATCCATCCCTGATATCCATCTGGCACCTTTATCTTACAGCTACAGAGGTTGGGCTCCAACAAGCGCGTCCTATATAATATACCTTTTCTGGTATTTAAGCCTATGCTATCCTTTCTGTTCTTTGAGTCTCAATTGTGGAATGAGTATGAAATTCAAGAATTCTTTCTTTCCTTCTTGCATACTTGTATTGATCCTTGACTCAGAAGTGATCAAATTCAGACAGCCAGGTAGCCAGCATTGCCAGAAGATCAACATCAGCACTTCATACAGTACTTTTGTGATAGGTGTGCTTTAATGTGTTGGGCTGATGCAAGTGGCTAAAAAGGAACTCCAGTGAGGTCTGTTTGTAAAGTGGCAATGTCAGGGAAGCCAGCACATTGGCTTATGTTTGTGTCTGAATTGCTTTTCTCCTCAAAGTCAATGTAGATAAAAACTCAGCTCAGAAGCACCTTGGAGTTGCTGAAAGGGGAATCGGAGCAACTTACGTCCTCTATAATGGTCCATGTCCCTCCCCAGCATCTTCTCCCTGCGTGCGAGTCTTCGAGTGTATACATCGTGCACAGGAGTCTATCCTCCTGGCATATAGTGCTGTCAATGTAAGCTGAGCTGCGTATGCACAGTTTAGTGCACATGCTGCAGAAGACTACGGCAGGTTTTTTTTTTTTTTTTTTTAAACAGAGGAGACATTGTATGTCTTTTCTGTGATAATCACCTGCCTACTCTGAGTATGGTCTAAAAAGCCTTCAGTTTTGCTTAAAAGGCAAGTAAATGCATTTCAGAAACCCTTTTAGACATGCAGCATTTGACTTGCTTCTGGGCTCTGAAGCCTGTCTTTTCAAGTCCTAATACACTATAAAAAAAATCATAAAAAAAAACACCCTGTGTATCCAAGCCGTAAGGCTCCATTCACACTTGTGCAACTTGTCATGCAAGTTTGGACATTAAAGTCACAGCTCATTCTTTTCAGTGGCACCCGTTTTAAATCAGTGCGACTTTGAAAAGTTTCCTGCCCTACTTTGATGCAACTTTTTTCCAGAGTGTAAAGTTGCATCAAAATCGTGCTCCAAAGTCACACTGGAAATCGCGTGGCTTTGGAGCTGCACAAGTGTGAATAAAACTCCATAGAAAGATTTTGAGAAGCTATTGTCAGCCATTATGTTCTAAAGAACAGAGAGCCTAGTTGAAGTGAACTTTCTTCTGGAGTAGGAGTCTGCCTTGAAGAGACATATCTGATACTGGAGTATCTTCCACTCATTGGACCTGAAGAAGTGGCTTGGAAAGGCTATGAAACCTCGTCAATATGAATGTGACTAATTACTACTGGATATCCCATGACTTGCATGAATGAGAACCTTCACAGATGTATCAGATGAAGCTTCAGTATAAATGTTACTGTCCTCCCAGATGTTAACATTGCTAAATTGTGTGTGGAGTCATCTAGCCCTTTGCCAATATCAAAGCGCATATGTATAACATCATATTCACCAAACGGCAGAATTGGCATCAATGTCCGGTATAATGAACGTGGTGATGTCACGGGGGAGGCTCTGTCTGACATGGTTCGTCAAAAGCAGATGTCTTCTGGGGATTTATTTTTCCTACTACCTTAAGCATACTGTTAGTCCTACTATGTAATTTTTTTTCAGATTAGAAGTATAAAATAAGTATTGAATGCGTCATCATTTTTCTCAGTAAATATAAAGGTGCTATTGACATGAAATATTCACCACATGTCGGTAACAACCCATGCAATCAATACATACAGAGAGACCAAATAAGTTCAAAAATTAAGTTATGTGCAATAAAATGGAGTGACACGGAAAAAGAATTGAACACGCTAACTGAAATTTATTCAAAAGTTAGTACAAAATCCTTTGTGTTGATAATGACAAATCCCAGGCACCAGGTCACCGTAGTAGCTAGAAATTGTGTCCGGGCACCTGGGCTTTTGTCAGCCCATTCACTGTTGCAGAGATGCACACCCTTGTCAGAGCCGCCCTGCTTCCACACATAGTAAAGTGCCCCTGGCCTCCTATCTTCTCCCACCCCCCACCCGCTATGTATCCTGGGCTTTGCTTACCCATCTCTGGGCCCTGGACCAGCATAGCGGGCATTGCAGGGTAGAGGGGTGGGAGGAGAGCTGTCATCCCCAACATATTTTTTTTTTTTTTTTTTGTAAAAAAATTTGTTACACCCAAGCACATAAAATATCCCCCTCCCCCCCCCCCCCCATTTTATTTTATTTTTTTATTTGAGGCCCACCCCCCACCACATATACGCATGTACAAATGTCAATGCACACGTTGGGGCGCCTACGCATGAAAATGTTTATTGCAATACAAGTTACATATTACCGTGCATGCCAGAATGAGAGAAGTAATTCTAGCACCAGACCTCCTCCTTCATGCTAAACTGATGACCTATAGGGGGCTTTTAAAGCATTGCCTATAGAAAATGTAGGATACTGAAGTTTGTCGCCATACCTTAGATTGTGCACCCCCTGAGGGTTAGGGACTGATGTGAATGTACAATATATATGTAAAGCGCTGTTTAAATTGATGGCACTATATAAGTACCTGAAATAAAAATAAATTTCACGTGCGCACACAAAGATTAGGCTTTGACATGTTGGGAATCTATTTACTCGGTGCAAACTCATATTTTGCCGAAATTTGGCTAATTTTTTTTGTTTTTGTTCCCTAAGTTTAGTGGGTTTTTTTACAGAAATTTTGCATTTCCCAAGACCTTTGAGGTAATATTGTATGACATCCCTAGTGAGAAAGCTGTCTCATTCAGTAGCATTGTAACTGAATGAAATGGCTGTCTGATTGTTAGATTTAAATAAAATAAAAAGCAATGAATTACTTAATATTGCCAGCCTCATGGGACCAGCAGGGTAAGTATAAGTAATTTATAGTTTTTATTTTATTCTGCCATTTTATACTTTGAACAGAAAATAAATCTTTGTTAGGTTTTTTTTTTTTTTTTTTTTTTTTTAGCTGGCTTCTAGATTCAAAGCAAATTTGTCAAGTGCAGCCTTTCAAAACTGTGCACAGACCCTAGTTGGATACCCCACACTAGACTCCGATTTACATCCCCCATCCCGGTGAATCTGTAGTTTCCTCTGGGTGTCAGAGGGATTCTCCTCTAACGCAAGGTTGATTCCTGCACAGCCCAACCAGAGGGTTCTTGAAACCTATGTACAATTGCATTGTATGTCATTGAGGTTGCTATTTGCAGGGCAGCACAGTGGCAAAATAGTGAGCACTTCTGCCTGGCAGTACTAGGGTCATTGGTTCGAATCCCAGGCACTGCATCTCCTGCCTGGAGTTTGCATGTTCTCCCTGTGCCTGCGTGGGTTTCCTCCGGGTACTTTGGTTTCCTCCCACACTCCAAAGATATGCTGGTAGGTTAATTGGATCCTGTCTAAATTGGCCCTTGTATATGAATGTGAGTTAGGGACCTTAGATTGTACGCCCCTTGAGGGTTAGGGACTGATGTGAAAGTACAATATATATGTAAAGCGCTGCGTAAATTGACGGCGCTATATATGTACCTGAAATAAAATAATAAATAAATATAGTCTTCAGTATATATCTGCGTATGGGATGCGCCTATAACATCTTATACCGACTACATGTTATGTGAGGTGACCATTTTATTGCATCTGTTTCACACCTTTTAAAAAAAAAAACCTCCTGTCACAGCCAAATCCCAGACCATTCTGGCAGGTAAAGCTCCAACACTTTGGGTAGCGTTGAAGCATCCTGCTCCCACACTTTCTTATTTGCACTTTAGTATGATTAAATGCCCCAGTGGACAGTAGAAATGTTTACAATACATTGAGTGGGCAAGCCATGTCAATGATGAAGTGCTAAAGCTTTATCAGAACTGCCAGAAATTCAATGATGGAAGGAAGGTTTGGAAGGCTACTGCAAGTGTAGTCACCCTTTAGGGAATGGCTGGCTCAGGCTCTCAGTGGCTTACTGAGAGGTTGCTTCTCTTTATTGCTCTCCAAATACAGTATGTCTGGCTTGGCTTTTGAACTAAAATGGCTGCAAAATGAGCAGCTAGTGCTGGGCTTTCCATTTTGGAAAGTTCAGAATGTACAACTGAATGTGTGTTATGGATGCATCCTGTATTAAATGTTTATTTGTAAGATAAAGATGGTAAAAAAATGATTATATAAAACATCTGTTTAGAAATTCGCAAACATGAGGAAAACAAAACATTTACCAAAAACCATGATAGTCTAAAAAAAAAAATTCTCAATGGGAGGAGATCTGTTAGCATACTTAGATTTTCTGGCTTTGTTATAAATGACAGCAGAGCTCTGTAGCTACCTTTGGCCAGCATTATTAGTATTCTGGCTCTGACACAAGTCATTGGAGGATTGAATTGTTGGCAGGATTATAAACTTGTTTTAAGTTGTAGAAAATCTTTACCAGCACATTATTTCTCTTTGCTGCTTTTCTATAAACTCAAAATGATTGAAAGTATGTATAGATCTAATTTACTGCTTTTAATCCTGTTCTCTTTTTAGGCCTCTTTGCTGAACGTGTGTGTCTTGGTTGCACTTCTCTACGGTTGGTGAATCACAGGTAGGAAACAAATGTTACTTTATGTTTAAGTGTGCTTGCCCTTGTACACTGTTTTGTTGGAAGGACCCCTAGTCTCCAAACTACAGCCTGTGGGTCAGATGTGTCCCTTTGCTTGCCTTTTTCCTACCCTTAGAGTATTATTCCTATCACTGATACAAGGCACTATTCCTTCCACTGACACCAAAGATGGGGTACTAATTCTCCCATTAACACCAGGGATGGGGAACAACCGTGCCTTGAAAGTATTCATACCCCTTGAAATTTTCCACATTTTGTCATGTTATAACCAGAAATGTAAATGTATTTTATTGGGATTTTATGTGATAGACCAGTGGTCTCCAAACTGCGGCCCGGGGGCTAGATGTGGCCCTTTGCTTGCTTTTATCTGGCCCTTAGGGCACTATTTCACCCACTAATACCAAGAATGGGGCATAATTCCCTCTACTGACACTAATGAAGGGGACAATTCCTCCCAATGGCACCAACAATGTGGAACAGTCTCTCCCAATGACACCAACAATGGGGTCCAGTGACACCAGAGATGGGGCGCAGTTCCCCCCTCTGACGCCAAAGATGGGGCGCAGTTCCCCCCTCTGACGCCAAAGATGGGGCATTGCTTTTCCCACAGACATTGGGACTTTTTCTAATCCCAGTGGCCACAGTCCTGCCCTCCCTAAAGTCTGCAGGACAGTAAACTGGCCCTTTGTTTAGAAAGTTTGGAAACCCCTGTGATAGACCAACATAAAGTGGCACATAATTGTGAAGTGGAAGGAAAATGATAAATGGTTTTCAAAAGATTTTACAAATATCTGAACAGTGTGGCGTGCATTTGTATTCAGCCCCATAATCCCCCCCCGCCCCCCCCCCCCGAATCAATACTTTGTAGGACCACCTTTCGCTGCAATTACAGCTGCAAGTCTTTTTGGGTATGTATTACCACCTTTGCACATTTAGAGTGAAATTTGTGCCCAATCTTTATTCCAAAATAACTCAAGCTCTGTCAGATTGGATAGAGGGCGTCTGCGAACAGCAATTTTTAAGTCTTGTCACAGATTCCCAATTGGATTTAGGTCTGGACTTTGACTAGGACATTCTAACACCTGAAAATGCTTTGATCTATACCAGGGATACTGAATTAAAATTCACCGAGGTCCAGTTGGTAACATTTCCTTTCCTCAGAGGTCCAAATCTCATTTTTGTTCTATGACTCCGGGCTTTCCCTTCACAGCCTCCCTTACATCACAACTCCCTTTCCCATCTGAGCCCCCCAACATTAAAGCCCTGCTTACATCACAGTGGTCCTTGCAATCACAACCCCCACATCACAGCTCCCCCCCCCCCCCCTCTTGACATCACAGCCCCCTTTCAATCACAGCCCTCCTCACACCACAGACCTTTCATATCCTAGCTCCCCCCTCTCACATCACAGCCCCCCCATATCACAGCTTCCTTTTACATCACAGCCCCCTGTATCAGAGCTGCTCCCTCTCACATCACAGCCCATCCAACTCACAGCTCCCTTTCTCACATCACAGCCCTTCCCCCTTCTCAAATCACAGCTTCCCGCATCACAGCCCCCTATATCATAGCTCCCCCTTATCACATCACAGCTCCCCCCTCTGACATCAAAGCCCCCCCCTAATCTTCCCCCTACCTTATCTCAATAGTGTGCAGGGCAGGAGGAATGGCAGAGTGCAATCCTCTTCTGAATGTACTTGTTGCCGCTGAACTCACTGCAGGGAGGAGGGTGGGAAGAATGGCAGGGTGGACTCCTCTTCTGTGTGGCCTGTCCTGCCGCCACTACTGTTGAAGTCACAGTAGGGAAGAAAGCGGGAGGAATGGCAGGGTGGACTCCTCTTGTGAGTGTTCTCCACATGGCTTCTCGCAAACTGAAAACGGGACTTCTTATGGCTTTCTTTCAACAATAGCCTTCTTCTTGCCACTCTTCCATAAAGGCCAGATTTGTGGAGTGCATGACTAATAGTAGGCCTGTGGACAGATTCTCTTACCTGAGCTGTGGATCTCTGCAGCTCCTCCAGAGTTACCATGGGCCTCTCGGCTGCTTCTCTGAATAATGATCTCCTTGCCCGGCCTGTCAGTTTAGGTGGATGGTCATATCTTGGTAGGTTTGCAGTTGTGCCATACTCTTTCCATTTTCGGATGATGGATTGAACAGTGCTCCCATGAGATGTTGAAAGCTTGGGATATTTTTTTTGTATAACCTAACCCTGCTTTAAATTTATCCACAACTTTATCCCTGGCCTGTCTGGTGTGTTCCTTGGTCTTCATGATGCTGTTTGTTCACTAATGTTCTCCAACAAACCTCTGAGGGCTTCACAAAACAGCTGTATTTATACTGAGATTAAATTACACACAGGTGGACTCTGTTTACAAATTAGCTGACTTCTGAAGGCAATTGGTTCCACTAGATTTTAGTTAGGGGTATCAGAGTAAAGGGGGCTGAATACAAATGTACGCCACACTTTTCAGATATTTGTTTGTAAAAAATTTTGAAAACCATTTAGCATTTTCCTTCTACTTCACAATTATTTGGTTGTAACAGCACATAATGTGAAAAATTTCAAGGGGCATGAATACTTTTTTAAGGCACTGTAATTCTCCCACTGACACCAATTATGGGGCACTATTCTGCCCACTGACACCAAGCAATGTAATTTTTTTACTCCCAGGGAACACCAAGCCTATGCAATTTTTACTTCCATCAATGACTGGAAATTCTCTACTCCCACTGGCTACAGTTCAGCCCCCCTACTATTTGAAGCACAGTAAACTGGCCCTTTATTCCCCTGGACTAGACCATTTAAAGAGGTCATTCTGGAGTTTTTTTGCTAGCTCACTCCCCGGACGAATTTTAAAATAACGTTCCATACACTTCTTTGCCATTCTGTTTCTCTGAGAGTCACACCTTCTATAAGCTCTACGTCAAAGTTGATGATGTCATTGCCCTCCCTTTTACATTTGATAGTGTTTGGGTTAGGGATTATTATTATACAGGATTTATATAGCGCCAACAGTTTACGCTGCTCTTTACAACATAAGGACAGACAGTACAATTACAATACAAATTAATACAGGAGGATTCAGGGGGCCCTGCTCATTAGAGCTTACAATCTAAGAGTGCACAGATACCCCTTTTTGTTTTTTTAAATCAGCGAGTTTGAGTACTGATACTTTTGGTCAAGTACTTGCTGATACTGAGTACAGATACTTTACAAAATGTATGGACGCAAATTGCACCACCAAGAATAGAATGCGATTCCTCCTGTCCAAATTGCATACAGTTTTCCCACTGCTTCTGTGTGAACCCAGGCTGTCGTAGCCTGAGTTTACACCAGAGTGGTGCAAGGAGGTTTCCCGCAGTGGACAGTGGGAGAGTGGGCATGTAGGGATGTATACCATGGTGGTAGATATTCTCATTCTCAGCGGTAGGAAAGGCGAGAAAGTGCTGGGGAGGGCTCTTGATTGGTCAGTACCGTTCATGTGACAGTGCTGACCAATCAAAAGCCATGGCAGGGGGTTTACTAGCAAGACAGTCACTTCAGCCTGCATAGGCAAAGGATCAGAGTCTCTTTAAAGGGAATAAATGCCTGCCTGCTTAAAATTAGATTTTTTTTTTTTTTTTGTCTTTTTTGAGAGGCACTGAGTTTTTTTGATTAGATTAAGGTGATGATGAATCAATTCCTAGCCAATGTAATAGATGAAAGGCCATTTTTTTACTGGAACAAAGCTGGGGTATGGTGGTATGTAGAATACACTGTTAAACTGGTATTATTTTAAGGTTTTAGTTCCTCCTTTTTTTTTTTTTCTTTCTATTTGTTAATATCTAGTGGCATTAGGCCGAACCTTGATCTCAGGTGCACAGAACGGCGTCAGCAAGAAACTTAATGGTGTTTACAAAGGTGTCCGTCTACAGCAGAAACCATAAAATGCATCCTCTATAAAAGGTTCCAGAAAAAAGGCATTTTGTATATCAGTAGTTGGCTCACAATGTCTGTTGGTGCATTTAATATACGCAGGGCACTAAAGATCAAAACTAACTGGAATACACACAGTACAGCACAGTTAACCAACTCACCTTATTGCAGTCATTTTCAAAATTGTTGTTACTGCTTTAATTCCCTTTAAACTATTTAATTTTGGATACTTCCAACTGCAGCTAAATTGCAGGCAGAATTGGGCTTTTATCCATGTTCTAGTTAAGGACTGTAGAAGCGCCTTTCAACAAATACACATGTGCTATGGCTCGTCTTTCAGACACTGAAAAGACCTTGTAGCCCAGCTCAAAACTGTGCTCAGTGCCATCTTTTGGAATAAATGGCCTTAGGAGTTGAGAAACTCAGGCAAGCCAAAGCAATTTCTCTCTATAATACAGAAAGGGGAGTTGTGTGTTTTTTTTTTTTTCTTTTTTCTTTCTTTCTTGATTTGGACATCTTTTAATGCTTTGCCCTGCCTTTTCTCTTTGACTATTGCCGTTCTCATGAGAGGGTAGGGCTGGTTGTACCACATTTCATCTTGGTGACATGTCTTGCAACCAGTGGGCAATGGACTGTTCCCAAGTTGGGAAGATTTAGGGGAGTGACATCTTGACATCTTTGTTCTCTACTGGGATATTTAGGTGATCACTTGGTGCAAATCAGACCTGCTGGAGAGGATGGTCACTAGAAATGGAAATGGTGAATTTCTCTGCAATGACTATAGAAACAGAGGTACTTGGAGGGCTTGTTTAAAGTCTAGACACTTTAAAGACAGTAGGAGAAATGTTGCAAAGTTTACCCCTCCCATAGAAGCCAATCAAGTTTCAGAATAATATCTACTACATGAATTTCAAGTACTTACTGTGGTCCTTTACGTTGTACATTTCTCTTGGTTATGGTTGGTGTTCAGGCTTTAAAATGTATTGGTAACCTGATGCCTTTATGTTTAACTTTTTTTTTCTTTTTTTTTCAAATCATGAAGGAGTTCTAATGTTCGAAATTGCACTGCTGCCCACCCTGTTTACATTTCATTAAGAGACAGTAGTAATGCCTGTTCGTGGACTAATAGACCTGAAAGAACATACTACAAAGTCCACAGTCCTTCGCCTGCATGGAGTAGCTTGGCCAGAAGTGGCTCTTTGGCCCCCCAGTATCTGTCCATCAGAAGTCTTCACTCTTCAAGACCACTTTTTGATGACTCTGTGGTTGAGAAATCCTTGAAATCTTTGAAGGACAAAAATAAAAAGCTGGAAGAAGGTGGCCCAGTCTATAGTCCAGCCACAGAAGTGGAGACTGTAAAGAAGTCTTTGGGACAGAGGGTCATTGATGAGTTAAAGCACTACTATCATGGCTTCCGCCTTCTGTGGATCGACACCACAATTGCTGCAAGAATGATGTGGGAAATTCTCAATGGAGCTATTCTGTCTCGAAGGGAAAGGAGACAGGTAAGGGATAAATGAACAAGCTCTGTAATGGTGATTTAAAGTGTACCTTTTGTGAAAGTTCATACTTCATATTGGCTAAAGTAGACTTTATGTAGAATAGAAATACTGGTCTGTGCCTTATTAAAGGAAACCCGTACTAAGTGTAACCAATTCGCTCACAAAGTTTGGGTCTCCCTGGAGCTTTTGCCATTATGGCACAGTTATCTTGCCCATCTCTGGTGATGCAATAGCTGTGATCTCCCTTGCCACCAGTGCTTCCATCTTCACCTGGTCATATTCTGGGTTGTGAATTTTCAGCCAGGTGCATTCGGTTGCCATCCAGATCAATGGCACTGCACCAGTGCAGATAATGTGCATTGCCAATCATTTTGGTAAAGACACTGCAGCAACACAGGTAGCAACTCGTAAAAAAAAAAAAAAAGGGCCCTTAGAGGAAGAATGTTGACACAGGGAGAAATGCTTGTAACAGAGGAGACGTACAGAGTCTCTTCTGTCATAAAATAAAGCGGTTATGTTTTAAATCCACTTCAATTCTTCTTTAAACTTCTAAAAGTGGGAATCCTGCTTTTGATCAGACACTGCAGGATGCCTGCTTTTACCTTCTGCCAAGAAAGCCATTTCTGTGCCCCTCTTTGATTACGTTGTTTGCTTTGTGACAGGAGCCTGTCTTTTCTTTGCCACTTGACCTATAATCCAGGCCACCATTTATCAATTTTTCAACAGTTTTCTGCTTATTGTAATATGCCTCATATTGTTAAAACTGTGTAAATGAATGTTGAAACTAAAATTTGCATGATAATAGCTTAGATAATTAACTTCTCCCTCTTCTTCCTGCTACTAAAAGTGCCATACGAGGAAATGCAACTAAATTTCATTCCGACCACTTCATTATAAATATTAATTTTTAGTCATGTTAAAGGTCGGTGTTTACTCCTTTAATGCATTCCCTGCATTAAGGTAAAAAGCACCCCACAAACTATATCGACCCCCCCCCCCCCCCCCCAAACACTTACCTGAGGGATCCAGAGCTGTGCCGGCTACAGTCTTCTCTCCCCTCTCTTCCGCTTCTCACAGAGACTTTTGTAGCAGCAGGAGCCATTGGCTTCTGTTGCTGTCAATCAAATGCTGAATAGGGACCAGGGCCAAACTATGATATGTGTGTCTATGGAGTGTAGCTCCATAGACACACAGCTCAGGAGCGAGCACGCATGTGTGGCCCCATAACAAGCGGCTTGCTACGGGGGCACAAAGAAAAGAGGAGGAGCCTGGAGCACTGGTGGGGGTTCAGTGCTGCTCTGTGCAAAACCATTTCACAGAGTGGGTAAGTGTAACATGTTTGTTATTTGTTAAAAAAAAAAAATCTAGACTTCACAAAACTCACTTTAAAGCTAACTTCTCTTTCACTCCAAGTTGTGATTTGAGCAGCTACAACAGACAGTGAAGAGCAGAGGACAGAGCACTAGCTATGACCTGCTTGCTGAATTTATCTGGCTGTTGAATGGCTAATATTACTTGTGTGAGCTGTAGTGTGATATATAAAAGTGACTCACTGGCATGGATTAGACGTACATGATGATACTGGATCCTAGAATCTAATGTATACGCCTTTGTTTTGCTGTTACCACATGTTGCAGCATTGGTAACGTTCTACCACCCATCTGACATGTCTGCACACAGCAGATGAGCTAAAATACAACCTAATTGCTTTCAGTAGTATGCATGTCTGGCTGCCAGACTGTAACAAGATGCTAGCTGTCTAGTCGCAGATTAATGATTTTTTTTTAGAAGAGACAGAGTAGTATACTGCGGACATGTCACTGAGATGGCTTAAAGAGACCCTGTTGGTTGCATAAAAAAAAATCCTGCCACAAAAAAAAAAAAGTTTCAAAAGTTTCCTGCAATAGAGTAGGTATTGTACTCACCCATCCAGTGGCCTGTATCTACTATCTTTGCTTAGTTCCAGCACAGCAGCCTCCATCAGACTCTTCCACATTCAGAATTACTTAGTGTCCCCAACGTGTAACTTACCATCCAGCCACTGAATTAAACAGACTCTTACTTTTTAGGCCTCATGCACACAGTGTTTTTACAGCTGTTCCTAGGAGCGTCTGGTGTGTTTTTTTTTGGTTTTGTTTTTTTTCTCGCCTCTAAACTGCATGTTAACCTATGTGTCCATGTACACATGAAATTTTAGTGGCAGGAAAAAAAAAACTGTGTGTCCAGGAGCAGCAGAGTTTTCACCAAAAAAAAACTTTTGACGCCTCTAAACACTCGTGTAAACGGTCGTTAATGCTAGGTGTGTTTTAGCGCTCGAGTGTTCATTTCAATTTCCAAAATAAATCATTTGTTCTGGCCAATTATATAAATGAATGCCCAAGCAACTGACCCGTCTAATCATGTTGCACACTTTTGCAAGTGTCAGGCTTTTTTTTGGCAAAATGCTGATGCCAGGAGTAAATGCAAGGAGTGTTAAACCGTCCTGTGCACATGAGGCCTTAAGGATTAAAGTGCAGTTGTAGTTCCACTGAGCATTAAGTAGAAAAATTGTTGGTGCAGGAAAATCTTGATTGTATTAGGCTTGAGCTGTAGCACCAGCGAAAAATCATCTGCCTGGGGCATTAAGCTGAATATAAGATCATTGCTCTGTGTGTGGAATTGGCGCTCTCCCTGCTGAGGCGGAGCTTAAAAGCGTATTTAAACCCAAAAACAAAAATACACCATGTTGCAGTTCACTGATCCTTAGGTGTTATGGCTGCTTACGGTTTCTTTTTTTGGCTGTTTTTTCTCTATCGTCACCTGGTAATCCTGCAAATAACGCATTTCCTGTATGTCTATATTTGTGTGTGTTTTTTTTTTTTTTTTTTTTTTTTTCCCCTTTACTGTATCTATGAGGGCAGCCGTTTTTTGTCATCTACTTAGTAAACTGGAAACCCTGTACTAATCGCAATTCCTGATCTGCCTTCCTATTTCCCATTAGCGATGCCTGAAAGGTGGGTGCCAGAGGACATTAGAAAGTGGCTGCATTAAAGAGAAGCCATTTGTTACTTGTACAGGGTAAAGAAATACATTCATATTAAAGCTTGCCCTCAAAACTGCCTATCCTTATATTTTGATCCCCTCTGGTCCATCAATTTTTGGGATTGTGAAGAAACCGCTCTGTAATGTTTGTCATAGACTTGTTCCTCTCTGTAATGTGGTTCATCTCTTTGCAGTTCCTAAGGATATGTGCTGACCTCTTCCGACTGGTCCCCTTCCTTGTCTTCATCATTGTCCCCTTCATGGAGTTTCTTCTGCCAGTTGCACTGAAGCTGTTTCCAAATATGCTGCCTTCCACATTTGAGACCACTTCTAAGAAGGTGAGGAGATAACAGCCTTCATAATTATCCATTCTGCTTGTACTCTGTGCTCATTTGTTAGGAAATCTATCACTGGAGCCTCTCTGTAATATTGCCATATGCTACAGCTTTGCATAAAGACCTGTGTCGTCTGTCTGCAGCATCTTTCTCTAAGGCTTTTGATCTAAAAGATATCAAGGAAATACCTTCAATTAACTAAAATGTAAAGCAATTTTCTCTATCTGATAAAATGTATTATTTGATATAATGCTTAAGTTACCAATAGCGGAAGTCTACAAAACTTTCTTCTCCCTACTTTTGAGTAGAATGGTGTAAGGTAAAAAGCTTTTTAGGGTTTTTTTTTTTTTCTTTTCTTTTTTATATTGCTGTGTTTTTTTTTTTTTTTTTTTTTTTTTTCAACCTTGCTATTTGTCCTTGTGACTGAAATAGAAAAGTGAGGAGGATTAAAACATTTTCCGATATCTATTTATTTTAACAGAACAGGAGGGGAGGGTAAAACTTTCAATGGGAAAACATGTACTATTGACAGCTGTCAAAGGGGATATTTTTCCACACTTTTTGGTGAGATTCTTACTTTTCTGGATACTCAAAGACCAATAGGAACTAGATGGGTTATAATGCTTTCCTACGCTATTTAGAGCTAAAAAAATAGTTTTGAATTTACTCCATCATTTTCTGACCTATGGTCAAAAATGTTAGGACTACACGTTTTTTTTTTCTATCTTGCGTATACAATAAAGCTTTTCTTGACCAACCTTTCAGGCTTAATTGAAGGCACACTAAGCTGTGTTTTTTTTTTTTTTTTTTTTTTTAAGATATACTATACTGCCCTAATGCCCTGACCTGGATCTGGGGGTCCTATAAATGTTGTGCAAATATAGACTTCATGAAAATCAGTATTCGTATAGGGACAAGTATATCCTTTGCCCCCTCCTCACAAATGTCAAATTGGGAGCATCTGTGTCTGCAGTTTTTGCTTTTCAGTTGACATCAATGGGACTGTCTGCACAGTGGTGCACAGAGCACCTCCATATGGATGTATACTTTTTGTATGCCTCATGTGTACTAGGCTTTATTGTAAAGATTACTTTTTTTTTTTTTTTCCCTAGAACAAGTGCTTTAGTTTCCCTGTTAATGCATTTTTTAATTAAGGCGTTATTGACTGGAAGGCTTTTGGACTAATACTGATGTTTTTGATCCTCAGGATGACAGATTGAAGAAAGAGCTGAGAGTGAAGCTGGAAGTGGCTAAGTTCTTGCAGGATACCATTGAGGAGATGGCACTCAGGAACAAAGCTGCCAAAGGAGATGTGGCCATTGAGTTCTCCTCTTTTTTCCAAAAGGTAATAATATTTATTTTACAAAGAATTTTATTATAGAATAGACAACGACAGAGTAACAGTCGGTCAGAAACAAGAGCACTGACCAACAACAAATAAAGCTTACAAGTTTTCTAATGAATAGTACAAAAAAATGCACAGAAGTATAGACAAAGAAATAAACTTAGTACACAAGTGCAGTATATGTAGAGATAAAATAAAGCATCACAATTTGCAAAAATGGTGGGCAATTAGAGACCAAGGACTTAGAACACAACGATCAAAGATCAGCACACGATCCACCTACAAAAGGCAGGAAAGGTGGAACACAGAGCCTCACTGGATGTACACTGGCATTCCACATCCAGGCCTCCTGAGGAAGTCCGTCACCAAAGATCCATTATCTCCTGCGCTCAAATACTCAGATCAAATAGGCGTTAGGGACAAGCAGCATGTTGTGTGATCATCCGCTGGTGATCAGAGGTTGTGCAGCTCTATCATGAAGCTGGGGAAGCTTAATAAAACTGTAGAGGAAGATGAAAGAGAGAGCGCACAAGCCTTGCGCATTACCTCAATAAATAGTGACTAATTTTATTAATAAGGAAATATACTCACAAAGTGATGGTATAACAGGCATAAGTAACCATAATCCAAACAGGGTTCCAGGTAAATCGAAAAGGGGGGGGGGGGGGGAATGACACTAAACAGGCTGAACTGCTGTAATACTGACACTCAGTGGCTGAATATCTCCTTGCCATGGGAACTCTGCCATACTGAAGTCTCTATCTGCTCAACCCAGCTCTGATGAAGAAAGGAGCACCCTTCGAAACGCGTTAGCCTTCATCCCCCCCTTTTCAATTTACCTGTAACCCTGTTTGGATTATGGTTACTTATGCCTGTTATACCATCACTTTGTGAGTATATTTCCTTATTAATAAAATTCGTCACCATTTATTGAGGTAATGCGCAAGGTTTGTGCGCTCTTTCTTTCATCTTTCTTTCATCTTCCTCTCCTGAGGAAGTCCAACAGATACAATATTGCTGGTGCAGTTCTTTTATATAAAAAATAAGAGGTTACAATCGGCACAAATATCATGAAGACAAACAGAACAGAGAAGAAGAAGGGAAAGAAAGGAACAAATAAAAGGGGGAAAAAAGAAAAAGGGTTCCAGGGGATGCGGTGAAAAAAATCTCATATCGACAAAAGGGTATGATTGAATCTGGACAGTTGGGCTATATCAAGCCAGGGATGCCAGATCTGTAGAAAAACTTCGGGTGAGTGTCCAACAACATAGCCGTCAGTTTCTCATTAACCATTATAAAGAAAGTAATAATATTTCATGGAGGAGATTAATAGAAATACCTCAAACCCCACAACTGCAGCAGAAAATGTTTTCTAGTGTTGAAGCGACAAGCCAGTGCAGTTTGGTCAAAGAACTCAAAGTGTATATACGTATGTGATCTGTTTATAGATGCATGCTATGCAAACTGAATAATAAAGGGCAATGCCACCTTTGTTAAAGTGGAACATTACCCAATAGGAGAAGTTACTCCTCCTCCTCTCTCCTTCTCTTTCACATTTGGCACATCATTTTTTAGGGTGGGTGAGCGGATACCTATTTTTGAAAGTTACCTGCTCCCACTTCTGTTCACATGGCCTAGGCCAGTGGTCGGCAAGTCGCGGCTCTTTACAAACTTAAATGCGGCTCTTCTGTGTGCCGGGCACCCCGCTCCCCTCCCTCCTCTCGGGCGGCCGCCCCCTCCCCTCCCTCCTCTCGGGCGGCCGCCCCCTCCCCTCCCTCCTCTCGGGCGGCCGCCCCCTCCCCTCCCTCCTCTCGGGCGGCCGCCCCCTCCCCTCCCTCTCTCGGGCGGCCGCCCCCTCCCCTCCCTCCTCTCGGGCGGGCCGCCCCCTCCCCTCCCTCCTCTCGGGCGGGCCGCCCCAAAAGTCAGGACTCTGCAGCTGTCAGGATGTAGGCGGGGCAGCCAGGATGTAGGCGGGGCAGCGTGACGAACTCCTCTCCTCTCACAGTCCGCCCTGAAGACCAGAACGGCGCGGGAACACGGCGAGAGGAACGCGCGGAGCAAAGGTAAGTGAATTGACACATGGGGGACTTACTATATGGGGGATGAATTACTATGGGGGGATGAATTACTATAGGGGGGATGAATTACTATATGGGGGATGAATTACTATATGGGGGATGAATTACTATGGGGGATGAATTACTATAGGGGGGATGAATTACTATAGGGGGGGATGAATTACTATATGGGGGGATGAATTACTATATGGGGGAATGAATTACTATATGGGGGAATGAATTACTATAGGGGGGATGAATTACTATAGGGGGGATGAATTACTATAGGGGGGATGAATTACTATATGGGGGGATGAATTACTATATGGGGGATGAATTACTATATGGGGGATGAATTACTATATGGGGGGATGAATTACTATAGGGGGGATGAATTACTATAGGGGGGGATGAATTACTATAGGGGGGATGAATTACTATAGGGGGGATGAATTACTATAGGGGGGATGAATTACTATAGGGGGGATGAATTACTCTATGGGGGATGAATTACTCTATGGGGGATGAATTACTATGGGGGATGAATTACTATATGGGAGATGTATTTTCAGTTTTAAAAATGTGGCTCTCAAAATAAATTTCAATCGTGGTTTTGGCGAGATTTGGCTCAGTTGAAAAAAAAGGTTGCCCACCACTGGCCTAGGCGATCTGAGGCAAAAGTTCACTTTCCCTGCAGCTTTCTGGGACATGTTACAAATCCCAGAAACCTGTGGGATTACTGCTCGCACATGTGCAGTGGGCAGCCAGTTGTGAAGCCGCAAACAGTCAGGCGGCTGCCCACAGTTAAGATGTCGAGGACCAAAGACCAATGAAGAAACCATCCGGGTGAGGACAGCTTTTGTAACGTGGGACAGGTGAGTGTCTGTTTGTTATAGGTCAGCAACTACATTTTTTTTTTTTTTGTAGCTGGTGACTTATTTCTTCCACAGGTGATTGATATACCGCTTTAAACTACATATTTAATTGCTGTATAAGCCTATTGATCTTTTAACAAAATACCCTGCTGATTCAGTCTGCAGTCAACGATGATTATCTGCAGTTAACTGTTGGCAAATAAGTCAAGTATGTATTTCCTGTTAGCATGGCAGAACTGCTAGTATACTGATTTGTACAGGACTAATCAAGTAATGCAACTTCTTGCTAATGTGATTGGTTGCCTCCTGGATGCCATTAGCAGTCCATTAGTTTTACTTATAGCCCAATAGTGAAATCTAAGAGCAGCGTGCCCTTGTAAGTAATAAAATCATTAATTTACATGCACGTCAAAGGACCCTGTTTGACCATTCATTTCAGAAAACATCACATAATATTGTGTATTTAACATATTTTATACATGTATTACATGTCGAAGCCTTTCTTGTGCAGACATCCTAAAGACCTCAGATTACTCCTGGTCGCTGCCATCTTGTTTTGAAGTCAGCGGCCCCCAGCAGACTTAAAGGATAAGTTCACTTCTGGGAACATGTTACATGTTTCATACATTTTTAGGGTGGAACATGTAACATGTTCCCACTCCTGCATCCGCTCCCCAATCCTCCTCTGTAGTTACAGCAAGCTGGGGACCTTTTCCCCCAAATTCCCTGTCACAGTTTAAATAAAAATGCGAGCATGCAGAGTTTTGCCTGTCCTGCTGCGTCATTCATTCACCGAGTTCTGTGAATGGGAAAACTACAAGTACTGTCAGCCTTTGTGGCTGGTGGCTTGTAATTTTCAGTGAACTACCAGAGTGCTGGTGTGCGCTGAAGGTAGTTCATTGATGGTTCCTGTCATTGTGTGACTGGTTGACCATACAAGATACAAGCAGACAACTTACACTTGGCAGTCTGCAGGAGATGTGCAGTGCTTCTGTGATCTGCTGAAAGCAGGTGCAATGCTTTACAGACTTCTAATAAAATTTTTTGAAAAATGCACATTAGCTGAAAAAAGATGTTCGTTTATTGTTTTAAAGATGAACTTATCCTTTTAAAGAAGTTGGGGCCATGTAAAAAAAAAACACTCCTACTCACCCCCATGCTGCTGTTTCAGTCTGATGCTGCAGGTGTTCCCTTCCAGCTCTAAACCCAAGAACTGAGCAGTCACATGGCTGCTGATCACTCAGTTCTAGGTCTGCTCTGAGCGGAGAGTGGTGAGTGACTGTCAGTCACCGCTCTTCACCCTTCCCCTCCAGTGCTCACGCAGCTGGCTAAGAGTCTGAGCCAGCTGTCAATCAGGCAGCTGGGTGGATCCCAACAATATAGTCTGGTTACATCCAGACCCTGGAATGGCTGTGACGTCAGCTGACAGCAGGCTATTTGCTGACTGTGGGTGACAGGGGAGCAAACGTAAGTGCACTCTTGTGATCCAAAGAGAAAAAATATTGCCAAAAAAGCTTAGGCCAAACTTTTCAAAGCTGTCACTCAGAGGAAACGTTATAGTATTCTTCTTCGCTCCTCCCCTGGTAGATGCATAAAAGATTATGTAGGTAGATGAAGGCTGGGGCGGATAAGTTGGGCCAGCGCAGGCAGTAATTATCACTTAGAGGAGAAGAGGACTATGATGTACAAGGAGGAGTGGGGCTGTGCTAGGGTTTCTTATAAAGTAATCACATTTTCTAGCATGTTCAAAGACGCATTACAATGGATACATTTTTTTTTTTTTTTCTTTACTGGAAAGTAAAAGTTGATTCAGGGAATATCTGATTGCCTTTTGGTGGATCAGGAAGGGATTTTTTTTTTCACCTGTTGGAGTAAATTGGATGGACTTTTTTGTCCTTTTTTTTTTTTTCTTTTCAACCAGATTTACTATGTAAAAACACTGCAAATAAACATTTAAAATTCACAATTTTCTGTGTTTTTACCTGCATTTTTAAAGTTAGTGGCAGGGTCTCTAAGTTTTTTTTTTTTTTTTTTTCCAGGTACATAGAGGTCATAAACCTTCCCCACCTATTCCTTTCTCAGTGAATCCAGTTTCTTTGCTAGTTGAATAAAGCAGAGATCGCTGAGCACTGTAAGAATGATGTGAGGAACGATAAGAACTGCTTAATGCAACTGACTGTGTCCTCTTGGCCTTAAGATTATGAATGATTTCCAGGTAGACTTAACAATGAAGGCTGAGCTTCCAAGTAGTCTGCTTATGTAAACAAGCCACATTATTTGTTCTCTTTTGTGAGTCTTTTTGGGTTTTTCGTTTTTCTTTCTGAAAGAAAGTGCTTTGAGAATAATTTTCTTATAGTTTAAAAGGGCCACTAAGCACAGAATGCAATTTTTTTTCTTTTTTTTTTTAAAGGTGGCCCTTTGGCTCACTAAAGACAGCCATACATGGATCAAAATTTGTTCGGTTCAGCAGGCCCCTCCCCCCCTCCCCTCCTCTACATGGGACTTGTTGCAGATTATAGGGGATAGTTGGATACCTAATCTATCTAGCGATCTGATTGCTGATTAACTTTGTGAAAGGCAACAATCCATCTTAGGTGGAGCTAACCTTTTAACTGTACATGACCGCATTATAGGTTTTTACCTCCTCGCCATCTTGCAAAATGTATCTATATAAAAAACATATGTAATATCCCGACATACCCTGATACATGGACAACTTTTTTTGTTTTCCTGCAGATCCGTAGCACTGGAGAAAGGCCAAGCAATGAAGAGATTTTGCGGTTCTCCAAGCTGTTTGAGGATGAACTGACTCTTGATAACCTGACTAGGCCACAGCTTGTAGCTCTGTGTAAACTTTTAGAACTTCAGTCTATTGGGACAAACAACTTCCTGCGGTTTCAGCTCACCATGAAGCTGAGATCCATTAAAGCCGATGACAAGGTTTCTGCGCTATTCTCACTATCTGAAATTCAACATCTGCATGCTTGTGGAATGGAAACTGTATTGACACATTTGTATATTTTCTTTGTGTACAACAGCTTATTGCAGAGGAAGGTGTGGATACGCTGAATGTAAAAGAGCTACAAGCGGCATGTCGTGCCAGGGGAATGAGAGCACTCGGAGTCACAGAAGAACGGTTACGAGACCAGCTGAAGCAGGTCTGAGATAGTTGAAGTTGCATGTGTTTTGCTTTGTGAGATTTCCCCTTCGTCCCCCCTGTCCTGTTGACCTCTGTCACTGGGGCTTCATTTTGCTTCTTGTATCTCTGGGACAAGAAAAGATGAAAAATTAGCTTTCAATAATAATGAAAAAAAAAGCTCAATTTGCCTGCTTAAAAAGATAAAATGACCCCTTCCTTACCAAGCAATTTTTCAGCTTTCATTGTTCCAAGGAATATATAAAAAAAAAAAAAAAAAAAAAAAAATATATATATATATATATAATTTTTTTTTTTTTTTTTCTAGACAGCTTTCTTTTGTTGGTACCTTTCATTTCTTTACAGTTAATCCCAAAATTCCTGGTTGTCAGTTGCACTGTAAAACCCACTCAACTTCATGTTTGATTTGAGGATTCTCCTCCTTGCTGTGTTTACAAACATTCAGCCAATTGACAAGTGTGAATGGGCTGAATGTTTGTAAGCACTACTTGTGTTTACAATTGTGATTGCTATGATTGGTTCACAAGGAGTCTCTGATTTAGCAGTGATGCTACTTTAATCCTTCGTTCTTCTGTTTATAAGAGTTGGAGCTTCAGACCTGCTAGCAGGCACATTTCACAGCAGAATAAAAGCAATTTTGTGTTCATGAAGACAAACAAACACTGATTATCCCTAGCAATGCTTGACATAAGGTGAATCAGGCTGTGCTCTGTGCTTGATGAGACTTGCTTTGCTCTAGGAAGATAACTTTTTGTTTTATCTGCTATTACAGTGGTTGGAACTACATTTGAATCAGGAAATCCCCACATCATTACTGCTATTGTCCAGAGCTTTGTATCTCCCTGAAACTCTCTCCCCAGCTGATCAGCTCAAAACAACACTGCAGACTTTACCGGAAAGCATGGTATGTACATAATCAGCCTTTCATGTCAGCAGTGTGCATATAGATGCATGGAGCCCTGCTGTCAGTTCAATTACATGACAAAAACAAAAACTACATGACACAAACTAAATAACAGCACTTTGGTGATACTTTTGTGTAGTTTGTATTTGGTAAACATGAAGTTAATTAGAATTTTATATTGATTTACATTGAGCTCAGACCTGTAGCTGTAATTAATGTTACTTGGGATTTAGAATTTAATTAAAATTAAATGATGACGTTTGCATTTCAATCTTGCTTACTATGATGAAACCTATAAAGACATTCTTGTCATGAAATAAGCTACATTACTGTAGTACTTTGTCTCAGGACTTTATATGTAAAAGGATTGCTTGTGACTCTGAGTTTGGCCACCTAACTTTTTGATTCTTTTGTTACCATAATTTCCTGCTATAAATTGCAGAGATGCTGCATGTTGCAGTTTATTGAGCTTAATGATACCTTGTTTGTTTTGAAGTATGTTTAAAAAAAAAAAAAACAAAGAAAAAAAATTTTTTTTGCAGGTAAAAAGAATGTGCATTTACAATTTTTATTTTCTTAGGAGCCTGGAAAGCATTGCACCCATGATCAGCTGATACCAGATGGGGGGGGAAAGGGGGGGTGATAGCTGCAGGAATGGGAACATGTTACATGTTCCACCCTAAAAATAGGTGTAATGTGTTACATGTTTCTGAAGGTGAAATAGTCCTTTAAGCACTTGCCCTCTAGAAAATTTACCCCCTTCCTGACCAGGCCATTTTTTGCGATACGGCACTGCATTACTTTAACTCACAATTGCAACTCTGCACCCAAATGAAATTTTTATGTTCTTTTTTTTCCCCACAAATAGACCTTTCTTTTTGTGGTATTTATTCACCTCTGCGGTGTTTACTTTTTGAATTTATAAACAAAAAAGACTGACAATTTTGAAAAAAAAAAACTTTTTATTTTCTACTATAAAACATATCCAATAAAAAATTTTTAAAAATCAAATTTCTTCATAAATTTAGTCCAAAATGTATTCGATTTTATATTTTTGGTAAAAGGAAAAAAAAAAAAAACACTAAGTATATATTGATTAGTTTGCGCAAAAAGTTATAGCATCTACAAACTATGGGACTATATACTGGGATTTTTAATTTATTTTTTTATACTAGTAATGGTGGCGATCAGCGACTTATAACGCGATTGCAATATTGTGGCAAACACTTTTACACTAGCTGACTTTGTGGGAACCAGTGACACTAATACAGTGATCAGTGCTAAAAATGACACTGGTTGGGATTAATATCTAGGGCAATCAAAGGGTTAACTGTGCCTAGTTATGTGCTTGGCGTTGCTACTGCAGGAACTGAAGGATCATGTTCCCAAACTTTGATCCTTCAGGTCACCACCTGTCAGAACAGAGCTCTGCCTTGTTTACATAGGAAAAGCTCTGTTCTCTCTCTTGCCCACCGATTTGGTGGGTGCCAGTGAACATTCGTTTGTCGTGACTCGCAGATTGGCTTATGCTGTGAGTGTTCACAGCAGAAACAAGCTGGCGGCGGCACATGTGCACCCCCTATGGCAGAAGCACAAAATTGTGTGTGTGTGTGTAAATTTTTTAAAAAACTACTTGTCTAGGGACTAAATCTGTGTACCAATCTACTTGTCCAGAGTAAAAAAAGATATTTTTTAACCAAAACCATATTTAAATCCGAGGTGATTTTTGGAATCATTTTAACATTGTGCTGTTTATCCCCTCCATGCCTGTCTCCAGCATTGCACCCGAGGACAAGCAGGGAGGAGAGAGACCTTCCAGTGTAATAAGCACACATTGGGTGCTCCTCAGGAAAGGGGAATGTCCGGCTTATCCTTTATTCCTTTCACTGCCAGAGCCATATTTGCGCAAGCTTAAAAAATCATTTTAGGCTTGATTTTTACACAAAACCCCCAAACATTATATATTTTCTGAAAGCAGAGACCCTAGAGAATAAAATGGAAAAAGTAAATTAATTTTAGGGCACAAAAAAGCAATAAATTACCTTATATTTTTTGTAAAATCTAAAAGATGAGGTTGCACCGAGTAAATGGATATCCAACTTGTCAGACCTTAAATTTGTGCGCGCTCGTGACATGGTGACGCACTTCAGTACCCTATGTTTTCTATAGGTGACTTTTAAAACCCCTTTAGGTCATCAGTATAGTGTACAGAGGAGGTCTCATGCTAGAATAATGCTCGCATTCTGGCGTGTGCGCAGCGATATGTAACGTGTATCACAATCAACGGTTTTCATGTGTAGGTTCCCCAGCGTTTATTTTTACATTTGTATATGTGGGGGTGGGGGGGCCTCAATTGTTTTTGGTGCGGGGGATGTTATGTGCTTGGGTGTAAGTTTTAATTTTTTACATTTAAATAAAGAAAAAAATAATTTTTTTTTTTTTTTTCATCACATAGGGGAGGAAGTCCTCTGTGTGATAATTGAGACATCGAAGGTCTAAAAGACCCTGCATGTCTCCCCTGTACCCCATTGAATGTAATGCAGTGCACATCGCACCACATTACATTCTTTCCCGGCAAAAATGGCTGGGAATCTCTCAATGGGGATCGGGAAGTGATATCATGTCACTTCGGGGCAGGACAAGAAGGGGAGGGGACATGTCCGCTCTCACTCCTCCCCTCTAGCTGACAGCGAAGAGCCGGTCCCTGGCCCGTACATGGACAAGCGGAGCCTGGGAGACGGTGGGCAGTTCACACAAGGCTTGCACTGTGTGGAAGCATTCAGGTGGCATCGCTGATGCCCGAATGCTTCCACCTGCAGCAGGGCTAAAGGTAAAAAAAAAAAAACTACCTGCCCGGCACCTGAAATTACAAGTCCCGGGCATAGGGTGATAAGAATTCAACAGCCCTGGTGTGTGTGTGTGTGTATATGTATGTATGTATAGTAAAGTAGTGAGTGTACAGCTTGTATAACCGTGTAGATTATCTTTCCCCTCAAACTCAACACACAGCCATTAATGTCAAAACCGCTGGCAACAAAAGTGAGTACACTCTAAGTGAAAATCACCAAATTGGACCCAATAAGCCATTTTCCCTCCCCAGTGACATGTGACTCGTTAGTGTTACAAGGTCTCAGGTGTGAATGGGGAGCAGGTGTGTTAAATTTGGTGTTATTGCTCTCACTCTCTCATACTGGTCACTGGAAGTTCAACATGGCATCTTATGGCAAATAACTCTGAGGATCTGAAAAAAAGAATTGTTGCTCTACATGAAGATGGCCTAGGCTATAAGAAGATTGCCAAGACCCTGAAACTGAGCTGCAGCACGGTGGCCAAGACCATACAGCAGTTAAACAGGACAGGTTCCACTCAGAACAGGCCTTGCCATGGTCAACCAAAGAAGTTGAGTGCACGTGCTCAGTGTCATATCCAGAGGTTGTCTTTGGGAAATAGACGTATGAGTGCTGCCAGCATTGCTGCAGAGGTTGAAGCGATGTGGAGTCAGCCTGTCAGTGCTCAGACCATACACCGTACACTACATCTGCATGGCTGTTGTCCCAGAAGGAAGCCTCTTCTAAAGATGATGCACAAAGCCCACAAACAGTTTGCTGAAGACAAGCAGACTAAGGAAATGGATTACTGGAACCATGTCCTGTGGTCTGATGAGACCAAGATAAACTGATTTGGTTCAGATGGTGTCAAGCGTGTGTGGCGGCAGCCAGGTGAGGAGTACAAAGGCAAGTGTGTTTTTGCCTACAGTCCAGCATGGTGGTGGGAGTGTCATGGTCTGGGGCTGCATGAGTCCTGCCAGAACTGAGGAGATACAGTTCATTGAGGGAACCATGAATGACAACATGTACTGTGACATACTGAAGCAGAGCATGATCCCCTCCCTTCAGAGACTGGGCTGCAGGGCAGTATTCCAACATAACGACCCCAAACACACCTCCAAGACGACCACTTCCTTGCTAAAGAAGCTGAGGGTAAAGGTGATGGACTGGCCAAGCATGTCTCCAGACCTAAACCCTATTGAGCTTCTGTGGGGTATCCTCAAACGGAAGGTGGAGGAGCGCAAGGTCGCTAACATCCACCAGCTCCGTGATGTCATCATGAAGGAGTGGAAGAAGACTCCAGTGGCAACCTGTGAAGCTCTGGTGAACTCCACGCCCAAGAGGGTTAAGGCAGTGCTGGAAAATTTTCACTTAGGGGTGTACTCACTTTTGTTGCCAGTGGTTTAGACATTATTGGCTGTGTGTTGAGTTATTTTGAGGGGACAGAAAATTTACAGTGTTATACAAGCTGCACACTCACTACGTCACATTGTAGCAAAGTGTCATGTCGTCAGTGTTGTCACATGAAAAGGTAGAATTAAAAAAAAAAAATTAAAAAAAAAAAATATATATATATATATTTATTGTGCATGTGATTTCTTTTTCAAAGGAGGGCTGCCCTGTAGCAGTAAAAGTGATTAAAGTGCTGGTAAAGGCTCAAGGTTGTTTATATTTATGCATGAAGGGAAAATGGTTCTGTGTGCAGCAGCCCCCCAATACTTCCCGAGCCCAATCGTGATCCACTAATGTGCATGGTAGTCTTGGCTGTTCTGGGTCCCTCCCTCACTGGCTGAGACGGCAGGGGCTGGAGCTTAGGCGCGGCTCTGTGTGTGAATGGACACACAAAGCAGTGGCTCGGGAGCAAGCCTGCTCGTGTGCACCCATAACAATTTGCTTGCTCTGGGGGCATTTGGCAGGAGGGAGGGGCCAGGAGCGCCTGCGGGGGATCCGAGAAGAAGAGGGTTATAGGCTTCTTTGTGCAAAACCACTGCACAGAGCAGGTAAGTAGAACATGTTTGTTTAAAAAAAAAAAAAAAAAAAAACTGCCTTTCAATCACTTTAACCAGGTCATTGAATTGAATCTGTTATGATGGAAATCTATTTTGTGTGGGTTTTTTTTGTTCCAGTTTTGGGTCTGTTACCCATGTGCTCAAAGTAAAATTCAAGTTTAAACCTAAGTAGCCTTAAACATGCCCATCTCCCCCTCCTAACACCTATGCTGACCAGCCCGGTCTGGCCACATAATCCGCTGTTTCAGCAAGCTGAGGCTACAGGGGAGAGGAAAGAAGCTCAACAATGGCTGGTAAAGCCTCTGAGCAGTGACATCACCCATAGGTTCCCTTACGTCAGCCATTGTCAACACTCCCTCCTCTTCCCTGCTGCTGACACAGGAGCAAGATCATGTGACCGGACTTGTGCAGGCTGATAACAGGTGAGTATATGCATCTTTTTTTACTCAGGTTAGTCAGCATAAGTGTTAAGAGGGAGTAGGGGATATTCTCAAGACTAGTTAGGTTTATGGTGGAATTACTTTGATGTACTACTTTGTGAGCCAGTAACCTGGTCAAGGCCTGAACTTCACTGTCTCTCCTTGCTTGTTTTGGTTTAGTGACTTAATAAGTACTGAAGTATGTATAATCATAGCAATGCTGGAACTAGCCATGGTATCTTAGGATATTGTCATGACATTTTCCCTTTAAACAGACTTGCTCAGTACACGGTCACACGTGTAGTCTTTGTGTCTGCTAACCATGAAATCATGGGAGGGCTTTGGCCTGGACTGTCAAGCTTTTGGTACAGGATGTTGGCTACCAACCCCCCCCCCCCCCCCCCCCAAAGTCAGCGAAACCTGAACCCTGCGTTCACTTTTACTTAACTAGGTGATGTCAAGGGGGTTGTAGGGGTGGCGAAATACTAGTAATACCCATGTAAAGCAGTACAGCATTCGACCAAACAGATTCTTATAGCCTGCCTGAGGTCTTCCCCTCCCTGAAAGAAAGTTATCTCTACCACAATAACAAAAAAAAGGAAAACAAAATCAATAGATCAAAGATTTAACAACCTGCTAGCCAACAATAATAAACTGTTAAGATAATATTGTAAAGTGTGGTCTTATAATCTGTACAAGTATCCAACTTAACTATGACGATGGATGCATTGAATAGATGTGAGATCGATGCTTGGCTGTTATTTCAATTCTACTTCTAGAACACAAATAATAAAGAGATTAATGTATATTGCAGTACTATGTCAAAGAGAGGCCTTTTTTGGTACAAAATGTGTAATACTGTGCTGGGGTACACTTCAAGAGTTACTCATTTTCCAAAACCTGTAGTGAAATGACTTTTGAACAGCTTATGGTTTGACATGTTAATAGACCGTATATGATTGCTTCCATAATGTTCTCTCTCAGGCTAAAGAGGCCCAGGTGAAGGTGGCAGCAGTAGAGGGTGAAAAGGTGGATAACAAGACGAAGCTGGAAGCCACTTTACAGGAGGAGGAAGCGATTAGGAAGGAGAAGGAGATGGACAGGTTGGCTGAGGTCGCAAAGGAAAGCTTACAGACCGCAGCCAAGGTAAAAGCTTACTTGCTTATTGGATTGTGAAAATCTGTGTTTATGAATGGCATACACTTAAAATAGTAGATGGGTCATGTAGAAACTCCATGTACATTTACTGCTCAATAGATTCCTATACAGGTTTTATCTATCAGCATGTTTTAAGATCTAACATTGTGGGAGTGGGGTCTCTTCCCTTACAGTATACTTTTATATAAACACAATCACTGAACTTATAGGCGTCTTTAACATTTAATGTAATTTCAGGTTATTTTTTTTTTTTTTTTTAAATGTTAAATCTGCAGCTTTCATTAAAATACTTGGTGATTCTGCTCTGAAGGTCCTTGTTTAGGTCCTTCCTATTATAGGGTGACAACACTCTCTCCCTGTCTTCAATGCTTCTGCATTGTTGGCCTGTTGCTTGTGTTTCAGACTACAAATGGCCTTTTCAATACAAATTATGTAACCTTGTCCACTGCTGTCATATCATGAGGTTTCCCCTACTGTGAATAGTGAACTGTTTAAATCTGTACTAGAGTGAACAAATCTTGCCTGTGTTTGAATTGCCACAGATGTAATATGTTGGTCATTGTGTGTAGACCAGTGAGGTATTTGTAGTGATGATTGATGTATTTGTTTTCAGGCAGAGGCACAGGCAGCTTCCGAACTGGAGCCTGCAATGGCTTCAGCACCCGCACCAGAAGTGGAACCAAGCGCAGCTGATCGAGATGAAGTGTTAAGGGACACAGCTCCTGTGTTGGAGGGCATTAAGGTACATGTGATTTCTGTGACTTTGCATACCACGGAACCAGTCGTAATGGCATTTCTTTTGATTTTCTTCCCTTCAATTTTGACATGCCAGTTTTTGCCATACATTCTAAAGTCAGTTCAGTGGAGAAAACCCATTGTAGTCTTCAATATCTACTTAAATAATATCTAAACCCAGCTAAAAAAATTTAGTAAATTGCTGATTGCCATTGCCTTTGTGAAGTGGCTGCTTTAAAAAAAAATTTTTTCAGGTTTTTTTTTTTTTTCACACTTTTGATCCTTAGAATACTTTCTATACTGGAGTGGTTACATTTACTACACTGTATTTGTCTGGGACTATCTCACATACATGACACTGGTGGGCTTCCTGGCAGATGTGGTATGCTCAAATCTTAAGTCTCCGCTGCCAGCATCCTCTTCCCCTAAAGTTTGGGTTTGGGTCCTGGAAACTTCCATAAACTCCTAAGGCCTTTTCATTGCACCCTCACAAGAAGTGATGTGTGCCAAAGATGGTGTTTTCACCAACAAAATATTTTGCTCACCATGACCCCATGAAGGTTGAATTGTGCAAAATTCTGCAGGGATTGACCCCCCACTATTTCCTACTTGAATAAGACCTTGATGGTCCCAGTGGATGAGTTCCTGGTTTTTAAAAACTCCACAGATGAGAAATTTAATATTAAATTAAAATTGTTGTTTATTAAAAAAATGTAAACATATAGGCTGTCATCTTTATAAAAATGTTAGTTTCTCGGTACTTGTGCTGACCAAATACTTTTTTTTTTTTAGCCACTGAGCCAAGCATGCAGACCCTGAGTTAGCACTTTACTTGTTGCTTATGTGTTCTGCAAGTATTGAAGTTCATTGTGGTCAGACAACGAACATTTTCAAAATGAGGTATATCTTGGCAGCCTCCATATTTCTCCTGGTAAAGGTTTGCTAGCCCTGGTTCATACTGGATCCAACTTTGAAATTGTGCAACTTCACTTAAAGTTGCATGTCGGTGAGACTTGGAAGACATCTGTGTGACTTCGAACACACGTCTGTGCAAGTCGTACCTGAAATTGCAAAAAAGAATAGTGCAGGAACTACTTTCAAAATCAGTACAACTCCGACTCTCATGACAAGTCACACCAGTGTGAACCAGGGCTTAAAGTGAGCATGTGCATTTTCTTTATATCCAAGCACCTATATCGATATGTGCTTTCCATTCACTACCACATTTACCCACCAGAGCCCTCATAAGGGGAGCCTGTGACGCACAACTTTTATAGCATTGCAGTGCTGAGTGTATTTTCACATGGAATTAATCTGCCCTTATCCCTTTAAAAGCTCTGAACCAGAGCCAATCAAGAGTTTTTGTTAGAGTTGCACCAGTGTCGTGCATAGAATGGGAGTATCAGTAGCGGAAAGGTGGAGAGATCAATCATCCCTATTACTTGATTATGATTCACACTTCCCTAAACAGCACAGAACCTAAAAGATGATTTCTGGTGATTTGTGACAGCTCACCCTGTTTAAATAGAAAACGTAGTATATGTTCCCCAAAAATGTTTTGCTGTTATCATGGCACAGATATATCCTAACTTCCTGTTCTGCTCAGTATAACTGCCGGCAGAAACGCATAAAAATGCTTTTCCTTAGTAGAGCTGGGAAAGGATAAAACTTGCTTTTGTATTTCTGTCCTTGTTGCAGATTTTTCCTCACTTCCTGCCTGATGAAACCTTTTGTTAGCAAGAAAGGAAGTGAGGGGAAACCGTTCTAGCGGAGCCCCAGAAAGTAAAAACCCAGCAGAGGTTTGAACTCTTAGACACACTCTAACCAAAAGTAGAGAAACCTACTTTAACCATTAGCCGCCCGGCCAATGGCCGTTTGGCGGCTTCAGAAGTGTCTCTCCACTCCGGGTGCACGCCATTTGGCATGCTCCCGCACATGCGCCGTTTGCGCTAATGCAGAGCGGTGCAGCAGTGCGATCTGTCACCGGCCGTGCACCTCGGACACGGCCGATGACAGATCCGAGTACCGGCTCCCGTTGCTGGTACCATGTGACCTGCTGTGACCAATCACAGCAGGTCACATGACAGTTGTATACAATGGATGGCTTCATTCATGATGCCATCCATTGTATACTAGTGCCTAGCTGTGAATGGTCACAGCTAATCACATGCACATGTCATGTGATTAGCTGTGACCAAATCACAGCTAAGCACAAAAAGAAAAAAGCTGAATGAATCGATTTCATTCAGGTAAATGCTTGCTTATAGCAAAGTAATTCTTTGCTATAAGCAAATTGTGTAAAAAAAAAAAAAAAAAAAAAATACTGATCACTTCCCCAAAGTAGTACAATGTTACTATGGTAACATTGTACTACTTTGGTCATAGTGAAATATGAAAAAAAAATCTTAAAAAATAAAAAAAATGTAATAAAAAATTAAATATAATAATAAAAAAAATATATATATATATATTTTTTTTTTTCATACTGTCACCAGTCAGTGTCCCTGTTCACCGCCATGCCAGTTATATGATGATGCTGTACTGTACTGGTGACAGTATGTAAAAAAAAAATATAGTGAAAATAATTTTTTTAATTTTTTCATTTTCCGAAAAATTATGACAAAAAAATACAACTTCAAAAAACTCGCCATGCCTCTTATGAAGTACGTCGGACTGTCTACTCTGCAAAAAAGGGTCATTTGTGGGATATCTGTACTGTTCTGACATTCGTGGACCTCAAGAAATTAGATTGGCTGTCAGTACTTCAGGATTGATCAATATTCAGATCTATACCATAGTTTGTGAACTCTATAACTTTCCTACAAACTAAAAAATACATCCTAATTTGGGTTATTTTCACCAAAGACATGTAGCAGAATACATCTCGGCCTAAATTTATGAAGAACAATTATTTATTTGTAAACTTTTATAACAGAAACAAAGAAAAATGTGTTTTTTTTTTCAAAATTTTTGGTCTTTTTTTGTTAATTTAGCAAAAAATAAAAACCCCCCAGCGGTGATTAAATGCCACCAAAAGAAAGCTCTAGTTGTGTGAAGAAAATGATAAAATTTTAGTTTGGGTACAGTGTTGTATGACCGCGCAATTGTCATTCAAAGTGTGATATCTCACACACTCCACACACACACACACACTCACCCCCCCCCCCCACCACCCCACCACACACCTCACACACTCCACCCCCACACACACCACCACACACCCTTCAGTAACCTTAAAGTAGTAGTGGTGACATACCCTTTCCGTTCAGAGCTGTGTTCCGCGGCTGTGACATGGGAGTGACATCACCACGGCTCAGTCATTCAAGTGGTCATAGCCCGTGAATCTGGAAGGAAGACCAGGTGGAGATGGAAGCCTCTGCAGCGGTGACAGCGTTCCGCTGGAGGGCTTTGTTTCAAGGTATATCTTTCATAATGTTCTAGTCTGCAATTATGCCTTTACCTTGCAGAGAGAAAGCGGTTTTGTTTTTTTAACAAGTTTACTACCTCTTTTAATGTTGCTGCCCTTCTTAGTCCTAGAGAGTATTTGCCAAAAAAAAAAAAAAAAAAACATCCTGTCTGACTCCTCTTTCCTCACCCTCATGCATTCCTAAAGGTAAGCTGTACTCCTCTAAATAGCTGCGGCCAACATAAATATGGCCCCATTGAAATTGTAAAGTCCTATGGTGCTTGTAAATTCTATGGTGCTGCACTGGTAAAGCCGTGGTCTCCAAACTGTGGCCTGACCTTTGATTTGGCCCTTCGCTTGCTTTTATGTGGCCCTTGGGGCAGTATTGCACGACACCAGCCATTGAGCATATGTCCTCCCACTGACACAAATGAAGGGGCATAATTCCTCCTAATGACACAAACAGCTAGGCACTGTTCCTACCGTTGACACCAAGGATGTGACAATTTATTACTGCCACTGACACCAGGGCATTTTCTGCTCCCATTGGCCTCAGTCCCCCCCTCCCCCCCAAAAAGTCTAAAGAAAGTTTGGAGACCCTGACTTAAAGGATAGCTTCAGGTGACGTAATCATTTTAAGGACATGACTATGCAGGTCCTCTTCATCAGAGTACATATGAAGATTTGTACCATAATCAAGTAATGTGTGTCTCTGGAAAGGTGTTTAATTTCTGTACATGCAAATGAAATATACTGAGTGCCTGTTGATGGTTTACTGCTATGTATCCCAAAAACTGAATAAAAGGCTGTTACTGTGGGAGCTTGTATATATTGGAGCCAGCTGCCTGCTCACCTTGAAAATAGTGTGGTGGATAAAACCTTTAACATAGAGCATGAAAAATAGTCCACAGGGAAACAGCGATATATTGCACCCCAAGACTTGTACCAACTAAACAATCCAACACATAAATAGAGGGGGAAATACTTTAAGAAAAAATTCCAATCCTTTATTGCAAGTATAAAGTACAAAAATCCTATAAGCCCTCACCCCTAAATGTCAAAAAATGCACATTCCTTCACAATGGAAAGATCAGTAAAACAAGACAAAGTTGTCTTTATTAAAATACCAAAGTTTTCGCTCCATAAAAAGCACTTGCTTGAGTAAATTTTGTGAGATGAAGCCCTCTGTGAGTGGTATCTATATTGTATTTTAATGTACCTTTTGTTTGAATCATGATCCTATATATGAGCTGAAATGTGGAACCACTAATATGTTCCAATTTAAACTATGCCATGCGCTGAGGTTCTCCCCTTTTTTCAGGGAGTAAAACACAGTGACACATTTAACTTGGTTTTATCTTGTAATGATGACAATTTAACACTAGATGGAGCTATACGATCATTGTCTGTCTATTTAAGTAGCACCTCATAGACCCCTCCTTGCTCTGACAAAGTCTGCGGTGATTGGCGACGGACGAAACGAGTCAACGTGATAATGTCATCACACCCGGAAGCGATGTCCATGGGCGTTCTCACAGATATGTGAGCACACTGGATCGGAATTGAAGCCGTACACATGTGGCCTTACACAGCTCTACAATACTCCATTTCCCTGCACCAAAGTCATTCAAGGGACAACTTCAAGGCCTCTACAGGGAACAGCATAGCAGTTAGCAACGGACGGAGGTACATTCGAGATCTTATATCCACTGCCAAGTCATGAAGTGTCAGATACGTCACTAGTGAGTGACGTTACTACGATCTCGCAACTGATTTTTTTCAACCGAGTTGCCGCCATATCTCCAACATGCTGTTCTGCTTATACCTTTGTATCATTTGAAGCCTAACACTTCTGGCCACTTGTACTTCTGCTGGAGCTGACATGTTTTCTCCTGCAGTCTCTGATCTTAAGCACACGATTCTTGTATGACTGCCTTCTAACATCATATCTGACCTCGATGATTTATTTCTACGGATGCTGGACTGACTGAATTTGTGTATTACTTGTGGATTAGACACACACCATCCTCAGTATTTCCTGTGTATAGGATGGCCGGAACCTATATCACTCAGATGCCTAACAATTTTTTCATTTACTTTTTTTTTTTTTTTTTTTCAACCTAAAGCCTAACATTTTTGACAACGTATATTTCTGCTGGAACTGACATGCCTTCTCCTGCAGTCCCTGATCATGATTATATGATGAATATAGAACGATTGCCTCATAACATCTTTTTTGACCCTTTTGTACATTTATGGATACGGGACTGACTGATTTTTGTTCCTCTGGATTATGTACATGATCCTCAGTGTTTCCTATTTACAGGATGATCAGAACCTCTATCATTCAGATGCCTACCAATTTTTCCATCCAACATGGTTACTCTTTATGATGTCGATGGTTTATCTTTTGCTTATTATTAGCTAACTATTGAATTACTTTGTGATTCTTTTACAGGGTCATGTTTACTTTATATTGATTAGAGTATATTTGTGATTATTGGCATACTATGACAGCCAGTGGATATCGCAGTCCGGATTGCTGATTCTTTTAATATTTGTGTGTTTTTTTTTTTTACCTTATTGTGAGATTTATAATAAAGTTTTTTTTGTGTTTTGAACTACAGTATTTTCTGGCGTATAAGACTACTTTTTATACGTAAAAATATACCAAAAAATTGGGGGTCGTCTTATACGTGGGGTATAAAATGTGAACCTTGAGTTTGGGTCAAGCTGGCTGGATGTGTGGTAATACTGTACATACAGTATACCATGCTGAGCCAAGCTGGCTCAAAACAAATGTCCCTATGACAGATTAATCTGTTAGCCCGCTGGAAGTGCGGTATATACAGTATACTGCGCTGAGCCAAGCGGTTTCAAAATGTACCGGTACTTCCCTACTGTAATCAGCCCGCTGGATGCGTGTATGTACGGTAGCTGAGGCTACATACAGTATACACTGGGCCAATCACGGCGAGTGATGTATTCTACTAATGAATACAAAGCCTGCTCGGATTGGCTGAGTCAGAGAGGTGGGCAGATGTCACCACCTCAGCCAATCCAAGCAGGCTTTGTATTCATAGATGTCATTCATGAACTTATGATGTCAGAGGATGAACATGAGGATTTTGAAGGATTTTAAGTACCGGTAAGTCATAACCATTTCAATTAAAAAATCTGATGTTTTTAAATGGTGTTGCCTGGGAAGGGGGGTAGTCTTATACGGCGAGTATAGCCCAAAACCTATGTTTTAACTGGAAAATTAGGGGGTCGTCTTATACAACCAGTCGCCTTATACGCCGAAAAATACGGTACTCTGCCTTGGTTTATTTAAAACCGTTTCTTCACAGCCTTTCCTATGGTTGCTTTTTTGTGAGAACGTGAATTCCCTGTTTTTAAACATTATAGGCACTTATTTTTAATGTTCTAGATGGCAATACCTGCAAAAGGGGCCAACCTGAATTAATCCAGCAGGGCCTAATTTTCTGAATAAAGCTCCACTTTAAAGAAAAAAATAAGTGCGTGCTGCCCTTAAAGCGGTACTTAATTTTCTCAATGAACATTGACTATTTTTTATCCGTGAGCTTACTAGCATTAGTAATATATATAGGAAAGTATATAATACATATTTAAAACAGTTTTTTTTTTTTAAATGTATATATGTTCAGTTACTTCCTGGTTACCATGTCTAAGCAAATGATGTCCTACATCCCAGGAGGGGAGGAGGGGTTTCTCCAGATAAGCACTCCCTCCTGCCAGCATGCCACAGTTAAAGGCAGATGGATTCCAGAAAGTAAATGCTACATGAATCATCTGCCCTTATTCAAGATGGCCATGGCCAGAAATGCTAGGGGATGTTTTTCAAAGTGATTTCTTACAAAATAAAGCATGGAGACCTGCTTGGGTAGGTGAGTTTGGTTTGAATATTAAAAATGAATTCAATTACATTTTTGCTTTGTGGTGCTCAGGTGCAATGTAGTTCTAGTTTAACTACTAGCTCCGATATTCTGTTCTTTTCATCCAGTATAGTATTGGAAAATATGGTGCTTTGGGCAACAAATGCAAGCACTGATATACACCAGACTTGTTGGACTTTTTTTTTATAATTGTAATCCTGTCTTTTTCAGGGGGAAGAGTTAACAAAAGAGGAAATTGACATTCTGAGTGATGCTTGCACTAAGCTGATGGATCAGAAGAATTTACTAACAAAGGAGAAGGAAGAGCTCCTGGAGCTGAAGGATGATGTTCAGGAATACAGTGAGGCAAGTGCAGTCCCTCTGCAAACTCAGGGTTATAATGTATTCGGGGGACAGTATCCCTGTGCATGCTCAGGTTTGTAATTAATGGGGGGATGTTATAAGTGTGCTTACTCCATGTTAGTGTTTAGGGGGTGCAGTGTGGTGTGTCCATTAACTGAAAATAGACTCAGCGTCAATGTTCAGGGGTGCAGTGTGGTGCGGCCAGCAACTAATAGACTTCATGGTAGTGTTCAAGAATGCAGTGTGGAGGGACTGGTAACTGAATAGACTTCACGGTGTATTGGGGGGGGGGGGCTGTAACAGACTAGATCCATGTTAGTCTTCGTGGGTGCAATATACTCTGTTATTGATCAGGATTACCATGTGGGATGGGGTTGGGGTGACCAATTTCATGTTAGCGCTGAGGTACACAGTGTGGTGGCAAAAGTATAACCAGTTTTATTAATGTATTTTTTGAGGTTTGTGGGTGCATTGGATACCCTGGCTGCCATTGTGCTATATGCTGGGTGTCCGTGGGCTCCCTCAGGTCCACCTGCCCTTGGTCTATCCATTAAATACATGTGCCTCTACTATGAGGACTCTCAAGATTTATAGAGTTAGAACCATAGAATATCGAGGTGCTGTGACTAGGCACTGTGGCTTACGTATGTATTTGCAAATGTGTGCTAACTAAACCCCTGTTTTTAAACACATGTTGTTAGGTTACTTTGGTTTTTAGTTGTTGGCTAACTAGCTGGCAGATTAAACTGGCTTTCTTATCCCCCTTTTTGATAAGTGATACCTATCCATATTCTTTGCTGATAAAAGCCATTTTTAGACTGGGGCTGCTGATCAATGTTGGTTAGCTGGCTGGCAAGTTGAACAGGGTAGCCCTATTTATATTTCTGATTTTTTTTTTTATAACCTAACCTTGCTTTAAACTTCTCCACAACTTTATCCCTGACCTGTCTGGTGTGTTCCTTGGAATTCATGATGCTCTTTGTTCACTAATGTTTTTTAACAAACCTCAGCTTCACAGGCTTCACAGAACAGCTGTATTTATACTGAGATTAAATTATGCACAGTTGGACTCTATTTAGTAATTAGGTGACTTCTGAAGGCAATTAGTTCCACTAGATTTTAGATAGGGTTATTAGAGTAAAGAGGGCTGAATACAAATGCATGCCACACTTTTCAGATATATTTTTGTAACAAATTTTGAAAACTATTTATAATTTTTCTTCCACTTTCCAATTAAGTGCCACTTTGTGTTGGTCTATTACATAAAATCCCAATAAAATATATATGTGTTTTTGGTTGTAACATGACAAAATGTGGAAAATTTCAAGGGGTATGAATACTTTTTCAAGGCACTGTATCATAGTATTTTCAGTAAAGGTGTTAATTGCTCGCCTTTTTTTTGTAAAGGATTTAGAAGAAATGAAGAAGGAACTTTCAAAGACTGGGCAAGACCAGGTGGTTGAAGAATCGAAGGCCAGTAAGAGATTAACCAAGAGGGTTAATCGTATGATTAATCAGATCGATAAGATCATCACTGAACTGGCAAATGAAGACAAAGTACTGGAGGAGCATGCAGCAAGTGGTGTTGCCCCACCTGTTGGGTAAGTGCGGAATGATTGGTGATTGCCATGGAAATATACATGTTAGTGACACGAAAATGTTTGCTTTGAATGTTACATACGGCTGGTGATCCAGAGCTGGGACAGGAGGCTCGGAGGCGGATTCCACCTGCCATGACTTCCATGTTCATTTACTGTCATGCAGTTCTTATTGCTAAAAACACTAGATACTTTATTTTACATAAATGTTTCTTTAAGCCTAGGTGCACACTGTGAGCCACATGTGAATCGCACAGGAGTCCCACTGCATTCCTTTGTAAGTCACGTGATTCTGTGCCGTACAATTTGAGCCCATTCATGTTGTATGGCTCAAATCGCACCGCATCCATATCAGAAAGGTGCGGGCAGCTTTTTTTTTTGTATGGGTGTTTGTACCCATACGAATCCGGTTCAGGCAGAAGCATTGCATTTGTGACCAGCATTTGAGGTGTCATTAACTTTCCATTGACACCTGCAACAGAGAACACTGTGCGATTTGCTATGTGGTGAGGGGAAACGCACAGGAATCACTGTGTTTCCTGCACCACATCAGTGTGAAATGTGGCTCACAAAAAAAAAAAAAAATTCCCTATAGCTCTAGTGACCTAATTTACCTATAGTGAAGTATGTCCCATGTTGTGCAGGCAACTGGATCCTGTAAAAATTGTCTATACAAGGATTGCCCGGTCCTCTTCCTGCTGTTGAACATCCAGTGCTGTAGGAGTTAAGCGTTTCAGGTTTTCTGTGAAACTGCAGTGAACAAGCTCCCTGTTGAGTCACATTCACAGATCATGTGACATTCAGTGCACAACTTTTTTCTCAATGGAGGAGTATGGAGCTGGTCCCCATCAGGAGCTTGTTTATAGAAAACCCAAAGCTATTAACCACTTGCCCTCCTGAGGATTTATCCCCCTTCCTGACCAGGCCATTTTTTGCGTTACGGTGCTGCATTACTTTGACAATTGCATGGTTATGCAATGTTGCACCCAAATTAAATTTACGTACTTTCCTTTGCTACAAAAAAACAAACCTCTCAATACATGTAAATTAATTGGTTTACATGAAAGTTATAGCATTTACAAATGGCAGTTTATATATACTGGGCACTTTTTTTCTTCTTTTAATTTTTAATAGTAATGGCGTTATCGGTGACTTATAGTGGGGTTGCGGTGGGCATTCTGACACTGGGGGGACCTACTTGGTGTCGTTGACATCCCCAGTGACACCAATACAGGGATCAGTACTAATAAAAAGCACTGACACTGTACTAATGGCACTGGGCAGGAAGTAGTTAACACCTTGGGTGATCAAAGGGCATTGTCCTGAACCCAGGAGATGTATTGAAGATGGGCCTGACATAAAAGCCTATGGGGGTGCCTACTTTGTGCTGACAGCTCTGGAATAGGTACTTTATTTACACTTCAGGTTAGCTTTAAAACTTTGTATAATCATTTCTAAGTATAGGATGATCGTCATTTTGTTTAAAATCCCTACACACAATAATAATCTCTTTCTTATCATTCTTAGTGCTTGGAAATGCAATCACATGAGTAGATGAGGGCTTTTCTGTGCCCTCAGAGGAATAGTTATTGTTTAGGTTTTTAAATAACCTGATAACCTTTTAATTTTATACAATATGATAAGACAACAGCTCCTCTGGTTGCTTTGTCATACTAAAATGTCCAGACTGCAGCATTGTCTGAGAGCATTGTCTGAGACTGCTACACTGCTCCTCAGACTTGCATACAGCACTGTCTAAGGCTGCTATACTACACTCCTCATTTTTGGAATGCAGCATTGGCTAAAGCCATCCATACATGGATAGAAATTTTGTTCGGTTCAGCAGGGACTGGCTGAATTTTGATCCATGTGTGGGGACAGTGGTTGTATAGAGGTCTTATCTACTGATTGACTCTCATACAAACAGCCTGTTGGATAGATGCTGCTCGATCAGCACCACCAGATGTAGCCGGCAGTGCTGATCAGTGTATTCTGATGGCAGGGAAGTCTCCCCGCTGTTAGAACACAGTAGCTCAGTGGGAGTGAATTCCCCATCAACCGTGAAATGTGTGGATGGAGAAATTGGGTCAGTTTTTTCCCTTTTAACCTGCTGGTTGAATGAAAAAACGGACTCCTCTTTGGGCTACTTAAAACTGCTATGCTATGATCATATTCAACTACAGTATTGTCTAGGACCACTGGACTGTGCTGCTCATTTTTGTAATTTGTCTAAAGCTGGGCATAGACTGATTGAAATTCAGCCAGTTCAGCAGGGACTGGTCGAATTTCATTCTCTGTGGCCCTCCCTGTTTGATAGAAGTCGATCATTAAGCCTGCAGCCAGTTGATTCCCCCATCCACCTTGCTTGTGTGAATGGAGGAATCTGTTAGCTGCTGGCTGAATGGGGAAAAAACAAAAACCTAACAACCTACAGTATACCCAGCCTAAGACTACTATACTGTGTTCCTCATGCTGTAATACAGAATTTTCTAGGACTGCTGAGCTTTGCTTCTCATACTCGGAATGCAGCATTGTCAGGAACTGCTATTCTGTGCTCCATACAGTCCCAGGAGCAAATGACTGGACTGTGTGTGGGCTGGGGGTAGAAAAGAATGGAATATACTTGAAAAGAAGCTTTTAACCTTCCCATCCACACTCATCCACTTTGGTGTTTTGCATTTACCAGCACTCTCTATAAATTAATTGTAGATTGCTATGTCTTTGATTTTGTGTGCATCTCTTACATACGTAAACTAAAGAGCAATACCATCGAGCAGGGATCTCAAGTGAGGTGATATTAGTGTAATTGCATTGTCCTCCATTTACATGTTCTTCTAAACCTGTGTTTGTTTGAAAGTCTCATCTTAAAGTAATGAAAAACTTAATTAAAAATAAAGAAAGAAAAAAAGAAACATCAGCGGTTTTGCACAGAGCAGCCCCAATCTTCTTCTGGGATCCTATCCTGGCTCCTCTCCCCTGCCGTGTGCCCCCATAGCAAGTGACAATTATGTGGGTTTGATCCTGAGCCAGGTACCCATTGACACATACACAGCGTGGCTCAGCCCCATCTCCTGCTGTCTCCTCACAGGCTGTGATTGACAGCCAATAGCTCCCCCTGTTGCCTCCTTGTCCATTGAGGACAATGGCTGCCGTTTCTTCCACCATGTCCAGTGAGGACAATGGCTGCCGCTGCTTCCACCGTGTCCAGTGAGGGCAATGGCTGCTGCTGCTTCCACCGTGTCCAGTGAGGGCAATGGCTGCTGCTGCTTCCACCGTGTCCAGTGAGGGCAATGGCTGCTGCTGCTGTCCACCGTGTCCAGTGAGGGCAATGGCTCACTTTCTATCTTTGTGACAAAGAACCATGGTCACCAGGGCAAATAGTGATGATAAATTTGCCCATCAGGGACAGCAATTAATACTTGATCCTTCTCTACTCAACCCAATAAAAAAGATAAATAAAATTCCCATATATAAGTTTACATATGCTTTCGGAAAATATATCAAGCATGTTTTGGTTTCACTTTCTGCCAATTCTTAGTTTATTATTCAGCAAGTGCTATAGAAAAGAATAGGGTTTAATGCCTGTTTGAGGTTGTACCAAAACTCATCTATTCCAATTGATGCTGCATAAAAACAGTGACAGTTTAAGTCTCCATTCACGCTAGGCCTTTTCAAATTGCCAGCGGAATCGCTGCGATTCTGTCCACCATTTGAAAACGTGTTGTAAATGTGTGAAAAACACACAAACACGGTTTCAGGTGCCATTCATTTCAATGGCACCTGAAAATGCAGGGTGTTTTTGCCGCAATCGTGGCATGTATTTCTGCGTAGGAAACTAAATTGCAGGGCACATGACACCCAAAAAAGGTTACAGCGCACTTTCAAATTGTGGAAGAAACATGGCAATTCCGCCCGCGATTTGAAAAACCTAGTGTGAATGTAGCTTTAAGGTCTTACTGTAGTCTTTATAACAGAGCCTCAGTGCTAGTCCAGCTTCCTTTCCCCAAGTAGTTGGCTTGTCTGCTGCTGTCTGTGTGGAAGCAGCAGTCTCTGTATTAGTGTGAAACACCCCTTAGTAAGGCAGATCTAGAGCTCTCCAATTAGCAGGGAGTGTGAGCTTTGTTTATTGCACAGCTTTAAAGTAGAATTGCTGGACAAACCTCACTAATCTTAAAAATGCTCCATCCACCTTCCTAACATCTATTCTGACTAACCTATGTAAGAAAAATGTGTATATCAGGCTGCTGCGATCTGCTCAGTTGATCTCCCCTGTGTCAGCTGGCGCTGAATGCAGGGGAGAGGAGAGAGCACTTGACAATGGCTGGCAGTGCCTAGAAGTGGTAACCTCACACATAGGTCTACTATTGTCCTTGTTTCTCTCTTCTCCTCTGCAGCCGCCGCTGGCTAACACAGCCAGATCACATGACCGTCTGGAGCATGCTGAAATAGGAAAGTATACAGATCTTTCTTAGGCTCTGTTCACACCAATGCATCTTTTAGTGCTTTTTGCAGAAACGCACTACAGTCCATTTAACATGGTTTCCTATGGAACATGTTCACATCTATGCTTTTTTTGACCTGCTGCATTTTTGGAAGGGGTCAGGGACTTTTTTAAAAGCAAAAAGCAGCATTTTTGCTACAGTAGAGTTCAATGGAGAATCTGCTGAAATGCATGGTAGTGCGTTTTTTTTTTCGTTTTTTTTTTTTTTGCCTCATTTTTAATTTTGCTTTTTTATTTTGCCCAGCAAGGAAATATTTTGAAGCAAGGAAATGGAGCCTTGCACAAGCTTCTGACCAACTTGCCAGAACATAGGCAGCCTGTAGGGCTGGACGAGCATAATCCATCGATTCCCCTATCCAAGCTAAACAATGTTGTATTTATTACATACTGGCCCCTTAATTTTACCCTGCCCTGTTCTAGATGTGTATAATTTACATTTTATCTTTAGCTTATGTCCATTGTTTGGCATGTTGTCTGTTTCTTTTTGCTGTGTGTATGTGTCTGGTTGTGTCTTTTTTTTGTAATCACTTTCAGGTCTGTTGTGACCAGCAATCATCAGAGATCCCTGGCGTAATTGCCTCTACGTACCCCTTCACCCTTTTTCTGCTTGCTCTTTCTCCTCAATTTAATGATGGTACCTGTTTGCTGTATACAGATTATATTTCGCCTTTAGGGAAAATCTAGTCAGCATTACCGAACTTGTCAACATCATGAGGCACATTCAAAACATCCCTGAGCAGAAGCTGCTGAGGATTGCCGCAGCCCTGGATGAGAACAAGGATGGAAAGATCGACCTGGATGATGTGGCAAAGGTATTTATAGGAATAGAATCATTGATCTGCACTATATAGCAAGTTATAAGCACAGTGCATGGGCATTTAATCCTTAGTCTAGTTTACACAACAGAATTGAACTTGGAGAGGTTGTATTCTATATTTGTGATGTGTTCATAGGCATCCTCTACAGCGCAAACACCGTCTTGTGTATAGCATAGGTTATACACAAGATGGCTGCCTTCTCTCCCCCGGAAAATTAGCAGGAAAAGCTTATAACTCCTTTCTAAAGCTTTTCTGGAAGAATGACATTGAAATGGGAATGTTTAGAAACTTTTTTTTTTTTTTTTTTTCTTCTCCAGTTGCCACTGTAATTTTTGGGGACATTTCCCTTCACTTCCTGTCCCAGTGACACAACAGGAGGTGGGAAGAAAAGTCTCTAAAGTGAGAGCCTAGATTCATGCTAGTGCGGCTGCAATATCATGCATTTTTAAATTTTTTGTTTTTTTCACGTTTGTGATGCGTTTTCATGCTTTTAATTTTGTTTTTTTTTTTGTACAAAGCAACTTGTTGTTAGTCACAAAACCTTTTCAAACAATCGCCAGAAATGCATCTACATGTGTATGGAGTCAAAACAAACTATACTGCACCAAGGAAGCACTTATGCCTGTTCAAAAATTGCACTGCACCATGGTGCATTGGTGCGAACATGCACCATAAAGAATAATGTAATTTCCATTATTGTGTAGTGCAACAGCAAATGCAGGAGAAATCACATTAATGTGAATGTGGCCTAAATCCTCTCTTTAGACAGTTGTCACCGGAGCAGGTCCCATTTGGAAAAAATGTTTCCTGTTTCAGTGGGTGACCTGGACAGAGGGGAAGTCTCCCAAATGGGGACACGGCAATAAAAACCTGACAGCAAAACTAATTGTCCACTCTATACGAAACTTTAATAGTTTTAGCCTTAGCTATACTTAATATTCGACTGTTTAATGTGACTTTCACATTTTTTAAATGCTTGTAAAATAAATGCAGCTGCTGTTAAATACAGAGATTTGCAGATTGAGTGTTTGCTGACCCTGGTGGCTAGTCACTGCTTCCCTGACCACTGTTGGCATAAAGCCACATAGAGTGTATCTAGTCACCCAAATCCTAGACATTCATTATAAGACCTAGCAGTAAAGCACAGCCATTGTGTAGCACTTCAAAGCGGAAAGCAGGACCTGCATATATAATGAGCAAGTATGGCTGCCCCATGTACAAGCTTTACATAAAAAATATTTTTTTAAAATATTTGCATAGATTGAGAATTATATACCGATGTTTTACACTTGTCCTGAGATGAAAATACATGTTTTAAAGGATACCCTTGCCGGAAGAAACACATAGGCTGCTGTTACTGTTCATAACTGAACGCCCAGGAAATGGCTAAATATACAGATGAAATGCATTTATGGGAGCTGTGCAAAAGATTTATTTTTTTTTTTTTTTTCCTGTCCAGTCCTAGGATTAGCACATCTCAGCCACAAAGAACCATCCTGACTATCAGGGGTGGGGACCTGATCTATCTCTGCTGTAGTTTTACATTACCTTACAGGTCTTCTCCTCACCTTAAACCTGTGACTGCACAGGGATAGGAAAAGCAGCAGACTGATGAGCTCATCTCTCATCTCTCATCTCTCATTCTCTGCTCTCTCCTGTCCTCCAACCAGCATGTTCCTTGCACTGCAGCACACGATTCCCTGTGTTGCTTGCCCCCCCTTCCCTCCCCTTTCCTCCCCTTTATGATCTCTGCTGTACAGTATACTGCAAGAGGCTCATACCCAAATCAAATTCAGGCATGTAAACTTTTAATAATGTATTAATGATTACAGAGCTTGTGTCTTTTCTATATGTCTGATTTTATCTTTAAACATTTGCTTAGTTCTTCCATCTTGCTCCATCAGGTTGTGGAACTAATAAATAAGGAAGATATCGACATTTCCACGAAACAGGTAGCGGAAATCATGGAGCTCCTACAAAAGGAGGAGAAGCTGACCGAGAAGGAAAAAGCCAAAGAAAAGGCAGAGAAGGAACAGATGGCCGAAGTACAGAATTAAACACCCCAGACACGTCTCCTCGTAACATTCATAACGCTGCTACCATGTTCTAAGGTTCTTTTGCTTTTGAGGTGACTCTCTTGTGAGCCACATTTTCACGACTACCATTTATACGTGGTGAAATAAAGGTTTCTTTTAAGTCATCTGCCATCATTCCATCAGCATCAGGCTACGTTTTATTTTAAAGATTTCTTGTCGTTTGAATGAAAACCTGAAGATAAATTGTAAAATCATATAGCACAATATTTTTTTTTATTTTTGTACTACGATCCCTCCATTTTGGTTTATTTTCAGAGTGTTGGCAGAGCATTTGTTTACTGCTAATTCTGCACACATTTCGGATTTTAAACCTTTTTTTTTTTTTTTTTTAAGGGTTTTTCAGTCTATTTGTAGAGTAGACTCATGCTTCAGGGCAATACATAGAGTGGCACGATGGGACTCCCCTTGCAAACCTTATCAGGACTATTCTCTTGTGGAGTACACAAACAGATCTTCACTAGCAAGTGCATACGGTTTAGGACATGTGCCATAATCGGGTTTGGGTTTAAGCACTTGTTATATTCCCGTCATACTCATTCCTGGGAAAAGTCAGAAGTAGGAGGCTGCTGTATAAACAGCCAGCTGGTTAATTGGTGGCATAGAATAGAACATATGTCTGTGTCTAACATATAATCCAAACATTAATCGAAGCGGTCACTTCACAATAAGTGCAAGTTCAACTGCATCACAGTGTGTATGTTACTCCTCTTGGTCTATGTTAAGGGTTCTGACTGACAACAAAATGCATAGAATAACCCTCTAGCTGATGGATCACTCTGATATTTAGGTTTACATATACCTACATTAAAATACCAATCCATAAATTCTCAAATAAAGCCTCAACATGTTAATATATTTTCAAAGGTACTTCCCCCCCCAATCCCCATCCCCCTTTTACTTACCTAAGCACTCATTTAATCCACTGCTGTGCACGTCTACAGCTTTCCTCTCCCCTCGCTTTCTGGTCTCACTGGCTTTGCTGAGGGAGCGGGAGTCGTTAGATCCTGTCAAAGCCAGTGACAAGGAAGCAGGGGACAGGAATGAGTGTATAGACACTGACCAGGGGGCTCGGGAGTGAGCATGCAGGTGGACCCCCATAGGAAGTGTTTTCCTTTGGGGTACCACCAAGATAAGGAGGAGCCAGGAGTTCTGGTGGGGGACCCAAGAAGAGGTTAAAGGCTGCTTCGTGCACAGAGCAGGTAAGTAGAAATCTGTGTGGTGTTTTTTTTTTTTTTTTTTTAAATTGTTACCATCACTTCAACTTACAAAAAATGAATATGACCCTTTTTCTATTAACACAGCATACTGCAATGTGTGACGTGTATTGTAGTGCCTTTCAAGAGGTGCGTTGTCCGCTACAGTAGAAGTGCATTATGGTGCCACTCAAAATGAATGGCACCAGAGTACTCCACGGTTGTTTGCATTACCGCAATGCAAATCCCTGAATCTACCACATCCATTAAAATAATACTTTATGATCCTGCTATGAAGGTCCTTGCGCATGCTTCTTGTTATAAGATGAGAGCGTGCTCTGTCCCAATCTCCCAATTCCTGTCCTGCGTTGTCACTCTGCCACACACTCTCCCAGAGGCCATGCTAATGCACACTGCTCTGGCATTGTTCATTGTGATCACCATCAGGAAACCCACTTTGAGAAATGCCTTGCAGCCAATGCTAGGGTGCATGCATAAAAACAGAAAATTCAGGTAGGGTTTACACATACTTCACCTGTCCAGCAACATTCACTGGTAGGTTAAAATGTTAAAGAATAGAAATATTGCTACAGATATGTGTGTTAAACATTTGGACATTTTTTCCACAGTGTTTACACAACTCATTAGACTTGCAAATTACTGGGTTTGTGTTTTGCTTGATAACAGCTATGACACTCTGTAACATGGTTGGGGAAAGCAGGGGGAGGCTGTAGTAAGGCCTTTTAATAATTGAAAAGATAATTTTCCAGCTATTGCAAGGTAATTACTCCAGCTTCCCTTAAGAAAGTTGTCATGAGATTTGATTATACACCTTGTTCATTCTGTGCTAGCTCACTTGATAAAACTGCATTATTTTCATTTAGTGATGTAAAAAAAAAAAATTCACCTATTCTCTTCTGTAATAATGGTCACACTTGTTAGCAGCCACAACAAAAAAGTAAAAAAAAACTGAGCGTACTGTTTTAAAGTAGAAGGAAAGGCAGTACGATCACTCCTCTTAAGCAGTCATATGAGTGCAAAGTGTCGGTGAGTGTGTGTGGAGTGTAGACAACAGCGCTGAATCCTTAGAGCAGTGATCTCATGCACTGTTGGGCGTCGTCAGCTTGAAATAGTTAATGTCTACCTGCCGAGCAGGCTAACCTATTTGCTGGAACTTTGGTGACTGCTTTGAAAAAGTTAGAAAAAAAAAATTGCTCATTCCATTGAGATTTATTAGTAACTTTATGCTGTAAATACAAGAGCAGTGGATGACCGTATTACCTTTCCTTCAACTCTTAACAACCCTTTAGCCTATATTTAATTGTGCTGCATTATCATATTCTGCCTGCGGGTGGTGCTGCTGAGATATCCTAGGCCAGGTAAAACTGGAGATGTGGGAGAATGGACCCTCCTTATTAGCACAATGAGAGGTTGGAAGCAGTGTTTCACTTTCTATCTAGAGTGGAAAACCCTTACATTATAACAGCTTTGCTGTTTGTGTTGTATTTTGGCATTTTTTTTTTTTTTATTATTTGACGCTTAATTTAATTTCACAGAGCTGCCTTGCAGGCAGAGAATGTATTATTGTGGTTGATGCTTTTTCGTGAGATCACCTTCTTACCTAGAGTAGGAAAGTTCCTGTTTATCTGAGAAACAGTCCTGTGGTGCTTTGCATAATTCAACATTGGGAATGTATTTTATTTCTATGCATTTTAATACAGTAGTGCTTGACTCCTTCATAGGCCACTGTGGGTCCAACCCTTTATTTCATGAGATGCACCTTCCCCACTACTAAGCTTCTTTTACTGAATGTAAAATTGGACAAATGTAATGTATTTGGCATTTTGACAAGTATGTAAGTACAAATTTATTTATGAGACTGAATCTTTTCTTGATCTAATATTACAAATTCTGTCTTCTGATTAATAATAAAAATGTCTGTACACATAACTAAGGCAATGTTGATGTCCAGGTTCAATAACTCCAGCTTTATTTTAAAGAACTTCCACATTGATAGTGAGACACATAAGCTGTAGTGCTGTTTGGAGCTTTGTCTGCCAAGAATGTGGGTAAAATGGTAATAAAAAGAATGGTATCAATGTATAGGAATAAAGAGGTATGGGGCATGTTAACGCACGCACACATTGAGATTACAACACCAGTGACTCGGAAGGAATAACTAAAGGTGTTTTTACTTCCATTTAGTGCTGGTATACAGTGTTGGGACACCGTAATGGGATCATAACATTACTGTACTGTGTCTAGGTTAAAGGAAAGCTAGAATGTATTTTGTAGCCCCTGTCCGCAGATGACTTTTAGGGCTGTTTCACACCATGCCTGCATCTGAATGCTGCACATTCCTGAGCGATTCACTCTGCATGCAAAATGCACTACATTTACAATCTAAGGTGTGTGTCCATAAAAAAATGACACCCCAAACGCAGTGCGTTTGTCCGCACCTCATCAGATGGTATGTTTTTACCATGCAATCTGGTTGCAGTGCGTTTTTAAAAAAAGTAGTTCATGCACTGCTCAAAAAGAAAAGGCTGAAATCGCACTGCATGTGAATTCCCCATGTATGTGAGCATGATGTGAACAGGCCCTCTAGGTTTGTCAAATGCACCTACTGAATTCTGCATACTGCTTTTTGTAAAGAGGAAGAAAACTTCCTTTGATGGGATGGAGGAGAGTCGGGTTGGGGACAGTAGAGGCAGTCTTGGCACAATGGTTCCAGAAGGCTTTAAAGCTACCCCCCCCTTCCTCCTCCCTCTTTAAGGTTCATGTGGGCGTACTATAGCTGCCGCCAGTGCAAGGGTAGCGTTTACGTGCATGGAGATGTACAGATGTTCTAAGTATCCCCCTTGCAGGCAGTCCCGATCATGTTTATATGGGCACAGCCATTGCTTCCAATTTGGGCTGCATGACCCTGAACACAGTGTGCCATCTGATCACTGGCAGTCAAAAAAAAAAAAAACAATCAAAATTCCCAGTGCAGCTGGTAAAGTATCTAGGACACCTGATCTGCCTACTAGTTTTCAGGTTAGTAACTTGTTAACCCAAGGATAAGGATGACCGCCTGAAACCTGCCTCTTAGGGGTTAATTCACATGGTCGGTGTGGCCCGTACAGCATGGACAAGCACTGTGTTTATTCTTCCAGAGCTGCGTACAGGCAGCCTGTGTTTCTCTGAGAAAAAAAGCCACTGGTCCTAATGTGACAGGTGTGCAGTCCCAAATGCAAGCGGTTTGTGCTCCGTTCTGCTCACCTGCCCCTGAATGCCTGTTACATTAGGACAAGTGGCTGTGTCTGTACAACTGCTGCGTCACCATAAAGATACATAAACTGTCTGCATGCAATTCCAGGCGGCCCTAACTGCATAAACAAGGCACTCTTTCATGCTGTATGGACCAATAGTGCTCATGTGAATGAATCTGACAAATACAGAAACTGCAGCTCCCATATTTAATTCCTTTTAACTTCTAGAGCGACTACTAGGAAGAACCATGTTGTAAAACAAAAAAAATAGAGAAGCAATCGCCAAGTTTTATTTATCTACATTGTTGAGATCCATTGATCTTTTTGTAGTTGAATATGTATTACGTGCACATATAGGCAGCCTCCTTTAACCAGCTGCAGTTCTTCCATTCACCCTTTCAATGCGTTTCTGTGGACAGGTGCATGTTGTTCCATAACTGTCATTTGTAATACTTTTTTCTTATTGTTTTGTGGTTGGCTGTTTTAAATTAAGGGAATGAAGTTTTATGGCAGT